GTGTGTCATGACTAGTTGGTGAATAGTTCTAGTAACCTTTAGTAAAGATATATATCAGTCTGTTCCCTCTAGAATACCGTACACACTTAGTACTCCATCTTAAAACTTATCATGTTGAGTTCACAAAGTAAATAGATATAAGTTATAAAAAGTATACATCGAACCTTAAATAGTCTCACAATTTATAGTTATTATATTAGTCTGCACTATAAACCCCCAATGCGCCATTTTGGTCTACATCAACACAACCTGCACTGGACGTGCATCGGGCCGCTGCACCCGACAGGGAGCATAATATTATAACCCCTTACGTCCCATTATATAAGCAATGGAAGGGGATGCGCAATTGTTTATAGTTAAAATAACTTGAAAGGGATAGACATTGTATTGTGTCTGCGCGAGTCAAGCTGCTGTTCGGTCCTGACGCGTCATAGAGCGGAAAGCACCGCTAAATTCCACTCATGAAAACAATGACACAAAATCCCATGTCTTTGAATCATTCGCGTTTATCTATGCTCGAGTTTCTCTATCCACGTTTTTCCTCCGCCCACTAGACTTCAACTCCGGGCTAAGCGACGCAAATCTACCATCTATCACCTCCGAAATAGAGTATATCAATCCATGTCGAAGCGAAGGCCAAGAACTATGGTTCGACAAGGCCAGTCTAAAGCCCTTAAGAACACGAATCGCACTCTCCGGGCCGTTCAGAATACCCACTCCTTTGACATATATAGGAGCATCTAGGGTGCCTTGGATCCAGGAGTTCTTCACATCATCTGGGACACCTTTATCAGGTCTCAGCGGTCGTTGACTGATTTTCCTTGTTCCGTTCGCTCCTGCAGCGCTGTCTTCTCCGCCCACTATACAATAAGCCCAGATATAGAGACTCGCGGTGAGAAAGGCCAAGTGGTGACTCCCTGGTCCTGTGGTCTCGTCATAGAGAACTCCATATAAAGTAGTTGCTTGTAGAAGGGCTTCTCGGACTAGTGTCGGATTCTGCTGCATCCAGTGTGATAGGGATGTAGCGGCGGCGGTCATTTGGTCCACTGTGACTTGCCATCCGCTCAAGGCGTATAGACAGCGTAGTGGTGTGCGTCGGAGTATGTTGGTGACGTGGAACATCACTTTTAGGAAGGTAGGTGCGTTGTTCAATATGGGTGTGAGTACAGAGAAACGTTTGATTGTAGGGTCGCATTTATCGTCTAGAGCTGTTCGGAAGGATACTAGTTCGTCCGGCCATTTATATAGCTTCCGCTCGCTGAGGCCGGTGGCCATGTCGGCTGCGAACCATGGCTGGGTGGATCGTAAGAGGCGCCTTTCTTCGACGTTGAATGTTAGAAGTATTACTAGGTTGCTGAGGCCGGAGTTGTCGTTGAGGAGGTTGTCGAGTAAGTCTGGGTTAGAAAATGCGGTTTTCAGACTCGGCCTGTCTTTTGATTCTATACTAGGTTAGATCTCTCGAAGTTGGAGATGAAACAATAGAAAAGCAAAGTAATGGAATTGTTGGTTTAATGGCTGCTCACCTGGTCTTGTTGGCAGACATTCCTGCCATTGTTCGAAATTGGATGTCCATAACTTGTCTCGGCATGGAAGAGCTATTTTGAAATCGTCGAGGGTCATTGATGATGGAGCATCCTTGAATGTCCAATAGCAGCATTCGAGTACTGTATTGTTAAGATAAGTTATGTGATGTCGAGGTATATCAAGAAGTGTCCTCACCATATACACAGTAGACGGTCCTTCTCTGAGATTCTAGACCCACCCAGCGACGCCATTTTTCATATGGGCCCAAATCATCTGGAGAAGGTATACTTTCGGCAACGTTAGCAGAGACTGATTTAGCCACTGAAGTGAGCATGTTCCTCTGGTACTGAGACGTAAGAATCTCATCTTCGTAACCGCTGAACAGGAGAGCTGTATTGCGTAGAAGAAGACACTGCGCAAGTGCCATCTGGTCTAGGGTAATAGTTTCCGTGGCCTATCGAGTCAACCAAACTGGAACAGGTATTAACGTCACAGCAACTTACGTTTTTCGGAAGCGCCTTCTGTAGAAGATCCTGTAGACCCAAGACATAGAGCTCCGAGCGCTCCACATTAGAGTATTGGCACCCGACAGATGCTACCGCTAATATAAGGACCCATGAGGCATATTCTGCGTCGAAAGATGACGGATGAATGAAAGACATCCAAGGGTCATGGTGCTCGAAGTAGAGCTGGACCATCGCGTTCAAGAAGGAAAGGCTAATGAAAGGTGATGCACAGGAGGAACATTGCTGGCTTTTCCAGAAATCACAGATCTGTCGGTATTGATTGTCTGCTATGGGTCTAACATGCCCACAATTCTCAGCCGCAATTATGTCTTCATCTGGCCGAGTCTCTGGAAGCCGAGTGCAGCAGAAACGATGAGCATGAGGCTCTTCTGGCATGGAGAAATCACTTTGCGACGAGGGAAGTTCATCGTTATCTTCCCGGGTGGAGATCGAAGTGACTGATCCTCCTGACGGTAGACTTATGCTCATGTCCACTGCCATGGCGTCGCCTAACCCTTGGCTAGGTAGTGATAACACATGTGGATGGATAGCGTTCTCACCGGGGTGACCGGCAAGGTACATGCTGAAATCTTCTCGATGTTGCTCGTCAGATCTCGTAGTAGCTGCCAAGTCTTCGAATGATCGTACATGGTGTTCGTCGAAGGTGGCATGATCGCCACTGCCACTTGAGATGAGTGTAGGATTGTCATCCAGGAGGAGCGTAGAATGAATAAACTCCGGCGTCTCTAATAGTGGAGGATCCTCCAGTGCAGAGATTGGTTTTGGAAATGCACATTGTATGTTTCGCTTAACACATCTACGACACGGCGACTTGCCATTGCAGCGTTGCTTTGCCTTGGCACAAGTCAGGCATGCTTTTTGGGACCGCCGACGATTGCGGGTGCAAGGTGGTTCTTCACCATCACTTTCTCTCGAATGAGTGGCTTGATGTTTCCTCAAAGTATCCCTGCAACAGTTAATAATCTCAATGATATATCAGTGAGATTAGCTATATGATGAGGATACAAACCTCCTAGAAAACATGCGAGAACACACGTCGCATCGAAACGGCTTCAATCCGAGATGGCTGAATTCATGTCGTTGAAGATGCTCTTTTCGAGCAAAGCTCTCTGGACAGAATTCACACGCCCATCTTCCCGACGGGTCCGGCCCACCTGCTGTCGGGGCTTCCATACTCAAGTACAGATGCTGGGTTGGTGAAGTAGGAGGACCAGTTGCAGACTCGGAAACCACGAGCCGTACAAGTCCGGGTTCACTTACGCAAGCCTCCACATCCCGCCACCCCACATTCTCTCATTCATCGCTTTCAACCGAGGTAAACAGCAACATCCAATAACTATATGGCCTTGTTCGATGATACATCATTATTTTGGTAATGAAGTTTCACTTATTAATATTGCTGAGCTTGAAATATATTCTGACTACACAGAGTTATACAAGTCGATCGACTAATTTCAGATGCCTAATCGCAACTCTACTGTAGTGGATGCTTCAACGCCAGCTTCCCAAACCTTCCTCCATCTGCTATCGCCTTCAACTCCTCTAACGCCTCTTCTGCCGTCCCTTCAAATACATCGACAGAAGGAAGTCGAAAATTAACACCATAATTCTCCACGGCCCAGGTCAGCGCACGCCACGCACGCTCATAATCTGCCGGTCTTGCAGGGATCGTGATCGGGAATGGCACATTCTGGACCTTGATAATCACATCCCTGTTCGGGGTGGCAATAGGCATCCTGAATTTGGAGTCACTCTGAACAACAACAGATACAAGCGTTGCATCTTCCGAACAGCACTCAGCAACTAGCTGTGCGGAGCTGACACCTCCCTTTTGGCTCCCAACTGCATCAAATCCGCATGTCAATGGACCCTGCTGAGAATCTCTCACAGTCGCTTTAATATCCGAAATAACACTGGAAGACTTGTAGTTAAAGCAGTGAGTGGCTCCGAGCTCCTGTAGTAGGGAATGTCTCTCTGGGGAAGCAGTGACGATGATCGGATGTATACCACTGGCATGGGCGAGCTGGAGAGCACAGAGACCAACGCTCGATGAGGCGCCCCAAATCAACAAGGGCTTCGTAGTTTTCGCTTGATTGTCATGCTCATGCGGCAGAGGGAGGTTGAAGATATTATATAGAGCATCCGCAGCAGTCATGGCCACCACAGTCAAACTCGCAGCATGGTGTGGTGGAAGTGCTGCAGGGACTGGGAAGAGCATATCCTCGGGACATGCCAAATATCGCTGATGGGTACCGTATTTGGGCGGTCGGTTTATCCCAGTAGGTGTGTATCCAGCAACTAGATCTCCGGGCTGGAATGCCGATCTGGTAGGAGCCTTGAGCACTGTGCCGCAAAAGTCATATCCAAGGACTGCTGGATAAATGCCTAGGAGCGTGGCATGCTTGATATCGGCGGGATTGGTTCCAGAAAATTGCGTTTCGATAAGGATTTCATCATCAGCTGGAGTAGGGGTTTCCTGGTCTCGTTGGACTGAGAAGTTCACACCTTCATCGACGTACAGAGCTGTGTTCTCGTCTTCAGGAGGCATTGTAGGATAGCAGGGTCAAGCGCAGATTGACTAATGCAAGGGTAGATGTAGATAATACGGATGAAAATTATCAGGGGGTATTCATACTGTACAGTGAGCGCATTCCCCGTCGGAGTAAACCTTTGGTCAACACGTCATCCCGCCTTCACACAGGAGAAATCCATAGAAATCGGAGCTTCTCTGCCTAAACGTAAACTTTACGGTGAGGTTAATTGATCATGGCTTCCCGGCACCCCGCCATCGGCCCAGTACACAGGCGGCCCCGTTGCGGCAAACCCCATCGGCAAAGCCGAGCAATCTCCCCACCGGCTCCATCGGCAGCGCCCGCTTGACGAGTAATGTTCGTAGACCATGGACGTTTCGCCTCTATACCATTGTAGATCCATTCTCTACAGCCTCGAGAGCATGCAATGAATAAATACCACCCGCCTCATCATACCATTCAGCTTAAAAAATTACGCCCCACACTCCCAATACTCACACGTACCCAAGATGCCCATCATCAAACAACTAATCGCCCTGCGGCGAAAAGCCGGCTTGACAAGAGAAGAATTCTTCGATTACCACTACCGAGTACATGGGGCCCTAAGTAAAGGCCCTAGTCCATCTGAAACGCCCTTGTATGTTATTTACCCTCCCCCATCCAGACAAACACACACACAAAGACACCCCACTTACATCCAAGCCAGGAAATATTTTCAAACCCACTTCCTCGATACCGCATACCACGTCGACTTTTCTCAAAAGATACCAAACGCCAACCCAACATGGGCCTTCAATGACGGTCTCACAGAGCTCTATTTCTCTTCGGAGGAACACATGATTCAGAGCTTCGTTTCTGAGTGGGCCAGGACCAAAGTAGGCCCTGATGGAGCGAACTTTTCGGATTTTAGTGTTGTGATGCCTATGTTTGTTAGGGAGGAAGTGGTTCCGCTGGAAGCTATTGAGTCGGCGACTTCAACACGGGAGCGTTCGTTCATTGGCATGTACTTTGTCGCGTTAAGTGATGCGCAGCATTCCGGGGGAAAGAATGGAGATATGATCGATAAGTTCGCATCTCTTCTCAAGCAACATGCCTCTCATGAAGTGCTAGAGTTGGTGGTTAATGTTCCTACTGAGGTGGGCTTTGATCTTAGTGCTTACTTTCGGGGTGGGAGGTCGGTTCCTGCTTATTATGCGTTTATGCTTGTGCTACGGGGGAAGGAGTCGGTTAGTGCTGTGCGGAAGGTTCAGGGAATATTTGAAGCTGAGAATGCTGGAATATTGGATCTACCAGCAACTTGGATCGGGTTTGGTGAGCGTGCTGTTGTGTTGGATCAGAGTGAGGGGATTGAGGTAAGTTGTTGCGTTGCTCTAAGGGCTTGGTTGTGATGAAGATAGCTGACGCTTGGCAGTTTGATCCGAAAAGACAGCCGTTTAAGATGGAATGAGAATCGCGCTATAACCAAGGTGTGTATTGTGCAGTATACTGCTCTGAACCGGCATGAAGTTGTGCTTGCAGCGTGGGAGGAACTATTGTGTTACTTAGTGTTCAGTATACTAGCTATTATCTTTTTCTTCTTTCTCATTTGCGTTTTTTCTCACAGTTAAATGAAGGGCTCATGCGGCTAATTACTGTTTTTTCTGGAAAGCCCAGTTTCCTGACAAACGTAGTATTTGGAGACCGAGGCATAGCCATCTAACATGGACTCTAGAAATGACCTGCGCAATCTAAGCTATTATACACAATTGGACAACCCATGTAGTACTATCTACCCATTCATCAACATATGCAGACTCGAACTACATGAATAATAGTACTATTCATATACATTGGCAAATAACTGACAAATCCCACATGAAGACACATCACCGCCTCACCCGAGGAAGAACCAACTTCCCATGAGAAATAATGACATTATCCCCAGAAAACCTCTCCTTCAGTCGATCTCCACCCTCATGTCGCATAGGTCCAATAGTACTGGAGGTATCCACAGACCCAATCTCAATGCTGAGTGACTGGCCCTGATCAAACAGAAATGCAGCAGGATACAAAGGAATGAGCACAGAGTAAACCTGGCCCGGAACGACCTCCGACTTTGCAACAGCTTGTTGTGAAATGACCTTATCCTCCGTGAATTCTTTGGCGACTTCATCACGATGAGAAAGACGGAAGTAACCTCTTGCAAAATTGTCCATCGGTTCACCGTGGTTGCCGTGTAGAATGATATTCTCACCGTCTGCATTTATTGCGCGTAGATAGATGAAGTTATCCATGTCTTCGGCTGTAGTGCTGACCTCAAGCTCTAGGTATGGTGAGCCTAGTAGCTCGAAGGACTCGCTGAACGGGTTTTCTAGGGAGAAGTGGAGGTTCTCGCTGTAGCCTTCATATTTAAAGGAGGTTTTGGGGCCGGCTGGTTTGTTGGGGGCGATTCTTTTCTCTGGGGTGAAGTAAAAGGGCACATATTCCGCATCAGCTGGAGGAAAGGATGTTTCATTCTCACGATAAAGGGTGTTTGTGCCGTGGTGTTGAAGAAGTCTGATGCGAGGAATATCAAGCATGCCGGTTTCCTTGCCAAAAAGGAAGAAGTCCAAGAACTTTCTCTGCATTTCCAAATGCGCCGGTTCATAGAACGCACTAATATGGTTCCCTGTATGCATTTCAAGCCACTTGTACTCTGACGAGATGGCGTTGAAAGCCCGAATATTGCCAGGTAGATGGAGCTCAGCATCTGTCCAATTTCCAGCAAGATAGAATGGGACCTCAATATTGGAAAGATTGCGAGCTCTTCTCAGAACTTCCCAGACACCGTCGGTGGGATACTCGGTCTCTGCGAGCAACTTTGGGAAATCGACCCTGTTGGCTGAAAGCTCTGCTTCTCCTATGTGACCCTCTTTCTTCCCTCCTTGATACGGGATGACTAGGTTCCGGTACCAATGAGATTGGAAATTGTCACTGTAGATACCGCCTCGTCTTGACGCTTGGTACATATCGCATGCAGACTCGTATGATACGACGCAGCTTAGGTGGGGTGGCTTCTGCATCGCGGCCCAGTATCCTACCATTCCGTAATAACTGATTCCGGAGTATGCCACCTTGCCGGATGACCATGGTTGAATGGCAGCCCATTCGACGATATCGTAGAGATCTGAAAGAGAAAGATAATTCTAATTAGCCATATGAATCTTACGTAGTGAGTGGAGATCAATACCTTGTCCCTCTGCATCTGCTTGGATTTGCACTGATCTTTCCAAGCCGAAAGGGTCAAGCTTCCCTTGGCTGCCGCCAATGCCACGGCTGTCAACACGAAGCAACGCATAATTGTACTCTTTACACTATAATACGGGTTATTAGAATGGGATCAGCTAGGTCTATGGGTTGAACCGTACCCAGATAGATGGATCACATAATTCAAAGCAAGCATCAGGGCCCAATGGCTTGATATGCTTATACATTTCTGCATAAATAGGCGAATGAGGTAGTCCAAATGTAGAGGCATGGTTGTCTTTCCCATAGGGACCCATGCTGCAAATCACAGGCACCTTCTCTCCATTTTTCGATGCGGTTAAAGGGAGAAACACATCGGCGCAAAGCTCAGTCCCATCGCGCATGGGTATGTATATGTTTTTGATACGGGTATATCCGTCGACGTCGGTCTTAAATGTCTCATACTTAGGTCTAGCGGTGCTCATTTTGGAAGAGAGGGTATAAACCGAAATTTTCGCGGGAACCTATATTTGTGAAAAAGCTGTATAAAGTGTAGATGCTCATGTCACTGATACACCCAGTTCATGTATCGGCAGTAGTAAACTTATAGTCTTATTTTCTTGGTAATATAGGAACCAAGGTGGCGATACCTCATGCAACCGGCGGAGCCGGTGGGGCCGATGGGGATGCGGCAAGCTCGACCCGTCCGACTAGGTGTAACCTTTGTATAGTAGATTTTGTGAATCATTAGGCGTCACAAATGGACAAAATAGGTGGCAATCAATTGATTGTCTAGCATGGCTGTAGAGCAGGGCATATTCCAGTTAATCTACTTATATTTCGTCCGACCATTACTCTATAGATGAAGTCCAGATAGCGGGCGCCAACAGAGTAGTACTGTTGAACGTCGGTGGATGTCCGAGCCGCCTCCGTGTCTGCATAACTGGGTCTAGCTGGGATGGAAACCAGCGGACAGAGTTATTGATTGTAAACCTCAAATCTGCCCTTTATGTCATCTTCAATCGAGACTGAAGTAGACGTGGTGTAACTTTTTTTAACTTGGGTAGTAACCCTTGAAAGATATTGTTTGCGGTTACGTTTACTCGTTGCACATCATACGGGTTCAAAACAGACACTTGATTGGCATAAAGACATACTCATAGAAATCATAAAGAGCGTTTCAAATAGGACAAGATGCTGGCGTCATTGACCTCTTGCCTCTTAACAGATCGTAAACTCATGAAAAACATTTGCAACACAGACGTCAAACCTCGGGCATGCCCTCAATTACAACCAGGCCCCATTCAATACCACCCATACCACCACGAGATCATTCTCCTAGACACTGTAGTATACCATGGGGAGTTCCTCTGACTCAGAGCATATATCAGATCTAGCTCAAGCTTTTCCGGGGCAAACGACGTGTCTGGTTCCACCGTAGTTGTTATCCCAGCAGTCCTTCCCATCACCACCTCCACTCTGGGCAGTGCACTGTGATTAAGAAAATATTGTCAGCAAAGTTAACAAAAAATGAGGATGAAAAGCACATGGATATGGTAGGTAGGTAGGGCCCGACTGAACGAAACTGGGTGTTTATAACATACACTGCCCTCATCACAGGGACTATATAGGAACCACTACTGTCAGTGTGTACTCTTCGTTCACGAGTATTTTACATGAAAGATGCAATCTCGGTGGCGAAACTCACTAGTTGTTGAATCCGATTTGGCAGCTGGTGCCATTGCAGCCCTGTCAATGGACATCAATATCTGCAGCTCGATATCTGAAGCAAGAGGGCAATAAGAAATCTTGAATATAAAACTCACTCCGCAGTTAATCTTGTCGCCAGATGGGCAGCTTTTCTCGCTTGCTGCATTGTCTGCAGGTGCAGGAGCGGCGAGGGCAGCCAGAGGGCCAGCGGCGAGGGCAGCAAAGATAAGAGTAACGAAGCGCATGTTGATGGATGTTATGAAGTGAGATATATGAGTTAGGTGGTAAGGATTCGTTGGATTATTGAGGTAGTCGTCGTCAAGGCTTGAAGACTTGAGTTGGAATTGGAGCTTGATGGCCGGAATGATGGCTGCATTTATAGATTTTGGGACTCTTCTTGCTACTGTGATAAGGCTGTCTTCCCAATTCAGAGATAAGTGTAGCATCCTGGTCAGCATGCCCCATGACTGCTTCTGATCGACACACATATGACTAGGCTGTGTCTTTCTTCCCTCCAAGGTGTCAGGGTTAAGGCGTCCAATATTACCCGCTAAACTCACTCAGTGCATTGATTATTATCAGCTCTGGATAGTGCGGTTGCCTGTCAAGGTACCTCGTACGTCTAATATTGACGTTCTTCATGGTCATGAGCTAATAGGAAAGCAGAATTTAGCCATCCTCGACCACTATAGCGGTGGCTCAGACACTGTCAGCATATAGCAAATGGGCTGGGCATATGAGGCTCATTTGGTTTTCTCATATGCGAGTCAGTATACAAACTCAATTCATTTTACATTATCAAAACCTTCAAGTGTCGGGCGGGAACTGCATCCCGAAGTATACCCCGGCATGCCTTTTTCGTACTGACAGATTATGAGGTTGGGACTGCTTGGCTTTGAGACGTGGCTTCTATCGTGATATCCGAGCCAGGTACCGCACCAAGAATGTATCCACCCCCTTCATGCTAGCTATGCGCATTACTGCTAATGATGATGACTATAAATCATTCACATCAAGTTCAAAGAGACCATCAAGGTGCGTATTTGTATCAGTCAAACAAAGGCTTTTCCTTAAAAGAATAGTAATGAAGACACACCTCCACTACGCCATAACTATCCGTAAGAAATTCAGGCAATATAGCACACTGCTGATAATTTCCTGAGAATCATTCTCTATGTGCGATCATCGTCACAATCGGAATGCCACGGGTATGCGGCATATTCGTGCCCACCATGTGAGATCACCCCTCGTACATGGAGTATATAAAATACGACTTCTTACTCGTCAATAAGAAGGCTCAGCACTAGCTATGAGATTTGGAATTTGCTGGTGCAAAAGAGCGACATTAGTTGATATCGTGTTATTGCCTCGGACATCCGATACTATACGTTGGCTTCTTTTCTAATCCACAGAAAGTACTTTGCCTATGCCCTACTAGACCATCGATGCTGTCAAATAGTAGCTTATGGTAGACCTTTGATAATGACATAAAGTCGTAATTACCAAAGACCACCACCAGTACCAAGAGAAGCAACGTCATCGTTATGCAGCAAACTTGAACAAGTGGCCGATCAACGTTGTCACCTACCCGATTTGCCCTTCAGCCTCGTGCAAGTCATAGCTCCGGAAGCAACAAATGAGCTCATTAAGGCACAACTGCAGGGTCCACCAAGGTATCTGATCGTCGTGCGGGGAAGGGTGTTGAGGCTGAGGAAGGCACACAAGAGAGAATGAGTCCAATTCCGCACGGCACTTTGAGCGCTGTATGGCCACTCGGCATTTGGTCACGACCCATAGTAATCGCATCGATTATTGATTGCCTAACTAACTACACTTTCCATGCAGGGTTAACGGCCCGGACCCGGACGCCTCGGACGCCTCTCGGAGGTCCGGAATGCAACCTGATTGCATCGTTTTTGGGTACCTCCTGGTGTGCTTATAGCTAGTGTTTACTAGAATGGATTCATCACTAGTCGCACGGGTAGCAAGTGACCCTATGATACGCTGTGTCCCTCTCTTCTGCGTCCAAAGGGTCATCGGGACTGCTTCTTTGGGTTACCTCAACAGTTCAAGGTTAGTAAAATTTATCAGATTATGCTGCAGCTCAGGGTCCAGCACAACCTTAAGCTTGCCAAGTTTAACATGACATCTGGCCTTAGGACAGTCGTCGTAGTGCAACCTTGCAGCCATAAGACAGACATTTGCGACAAGAACCTACTTATCTTCCTATCGAAGGGACTTTTCACTGTTGGCTCGGCATTTGCTACGCCTACCAATGAAGCTAATGGTCATACTGAATACAGCTTACGATTGTAACTGAGAATTCAGCCTCACTCCAAATGTGCCAAGACTGCAGTTCGAGCGGGGTAATGACATCTGTGTTGGACCTAAGAATGGCGGCTACACGGATTCACAGCCACCAAAATGACAAATACAAATTGATATTGCTGACTTTCCAGGTCGTATTAACGAGATACTCTGTGTGGAAGTGTTTCCGACCATAGGGAAGGAATGGGGTGTGTTGGGGGGGGGGGGGCTTTCAAGGAGGTCCTTAAGACAAGCTATACGGTAGACGATGAGCTATCCTCATGCTACATGAAGAATATGGCTTAAACTGTCACAAACAATCACAATCAAAAGAAGAGGCAAGCTTTTCCTTGATCATAGAGCCCGTTGATGGACCCATGATTAAGAAGACAACTCTGGCCATACATCGCACGGAACTGGGTATTGTAGTAAGGCAAATAGGCATCGATAAGAAATTCATATGTTCATATGTCAACCGAGGATACAACCCATCACCAGGCATAAAATGGGTCGCTGACCCCCTTCTTCAATTGTTGGAGGGCGATGAATGCACCAGTTACATAAGAAATCCAAACTGATCGACAATTAGGTCGGGTTAGCTTCCCAATTCGGACGATCGAGTAAACTTATAACAAATCACTGCTGCAGATATTGAACGCATAAGTCTCTCATTATGCTCTTGCAAATCAAGGATCCTATCCTATCAGATGATGGAAATCGCGGCTTGGGAGGCGGCATAATACCATGGGAGTCGGACGGAAGTTTCTGTCCGCTATAGACACGAACAACATATATGAGGGGAAGACAGTGTCGGTTTCTGTGCTGTACCCGAATAAAGTACATCTTGATTTCTCATCTACCACATCCATTCCCATGATGAAACAAATATAGTAAACACTACTACACATTTTCGCACGTAGGACCAAATTGGAGGCGGGTGCGGCTCAAAGTGCCTTGGTAGCGGTCTCCCACTCCTCCCCAAGCAAAACAGACGGCCAGCCATTCTATTCCTGGAAGACTTTCTGAATCTAGGGCGTTGAGCGAGTTCCGAACCTATTATATCCCTTGAATGTGCAAATTGGAAATCAAAGCGTGAGAAAATAGAAAGAAGGTGATGTAATTTTCTTCATAGCGCTTATCGCAGGTCCTCTCTGTAGAGTGAACGACGGACTAAACGTTTCGCATATATCAAAGTGAATCCCTAGAGAATAGTCACTGCGATGGCCTGATATGGTAAAACAAAGGTCAATCAGCAGCCCTGGGCTTGTTAATCCTTGCAATCAATAGTAAGCAGCAGATTCACCATAGATACTTGTTTTGAATCTCGCGGTCTATATAAAGCACTCTTCTTCCTCATCGCTCCTCCTTCTCTTTCTCTTCCTATCCTCTCCATCTACCTTGGCCTTCGTGCTCATGCCTCAAGAAAAGTAGTAGCAGTTATCGTTCCAGATAGCCTAATATAGTAATCATTCATTTAATGAAGACTTACATGCTATTTATATCATTATTTCCAAAAATGTGTGATTAATTATATTTCTTCCTCGTTAGGAAATCTCAGTGTTAGACTGAGCATCTTCTATTGTCATGCCCTTTTCATAAAACGTTGCGTATGAGCATGTCTGTTGCCCAACATGAAGACTGCGTACCCTGAATTGGGAATGCTGGGGGGTGGGGGGCGGAACTCATCGAGCAACTTTGATCGCGCGTCCGCTGCGTACCTATGGCTTGCCGACACCGAACGTCTCGAATCATTGATTCGAAGATCTGATGTCAAACGACCGGTAGGCTACCAGTCACTCTAGTATCATGCTATGTCAGATTCAATGCTAAATTCAGTAAAGTGCAAAGAAAGGGACGACGATGGGTGGTTGATAACTAGAGCTGGAGAGAGGCAGTGTCAGGTCCCAATGCGACAGAGACTTGTACCAGTTTGGTGGCGCTGTGGTCAAGCGTACATGGCTTGTGGGAGGGAGCGTGTTTTGCGATAAAGCCACTTGATCTTAGCGACGACCAGAGGAAGCTGGGAGTCGAATCGCGTAACTTCAGCGTCCATTCGAAGTGGCGATGTTATCACCTTCACGACAAACGACCCCGAAAAACTAACCCTCCCCTCGGTTGATATTTTATGGATGCAGTAGAACTTGACCAGGGCGTTGGCTCTATGTGGTGCTGGAGAAGCGCCTGAAGACTTGTACACTGATCATAACAAAGTGGAAGGAAAAGAAGACGTCCTGGTACGACAAGAAGAGGAGGACGAGGAGAATGAGAGGGTTCAGGAAGAAGGAGATTTCGTAGAGGTTCTACCTTGCGGCACTACGCCTAGACAAACTCGCCGGGCTGGGGAGAATTGCTCGCCTAGGGATGTTAAACATAAGGTGCAAGAAGCATCGGAGCAAGGGCTGGCACTCCGTCCGCGAACAAATGTGCAGTAGTTTACTTTCTCAGTTGCTCCATTGCATTGTTAGTAATCAACAGATTAATTTCGTCTTCTGGCCTAGTATTTGAGTCATTCTCAGGCAAGTAGTGTACGCTTAGTAGTTCAATCCTGGAAGAACGTACCCCTGTTATACGCGAGCTTGGATTCTCCTCAACGCTTGCACTGCTAGAGGTGTACTTAGGCTTAAATGGATGGTTGTGGTACTACGTCAAGCATTATGCCGCCCGTGCGAGGTCTCTTTAAACATGTGAGATGGCACTGCTCAAGTCCTCTCCTGCTAAGGAAGACGCGCTTCGGATAGACTACGCGGCTCGAATGACGTTCACTACTACGGATCTTGAACAACGTGCGCTTGAAGATCTACAACCAGAATTCTTTTTTGGTCAAGTGTCTGGTCTACTTAAATTCTTCTATCCGTTGTATGTCGATCTCAACGCTTGCTACAAAGGCTACGGGACCATGATCTACCATTTTAACTACCCACACGAAGACCTAACGAAGCCACCCTCGTGTACGCAGGTTGAAATTATCATGTTCCTAAGCAGAACCTTGGACCCCACAGAACGGAACTACTGGCTGACTGAATTAGAAGTCTTCTGCCTTGTTTGGATACTTTGCAAGATTTGCCTTATAATACACGCTGCTAAATATGAGCTGCTACCTATTGTGTATACCGACCATGTCTCTATTACGCTGTAGGCAGAATATGATGAAGTAGTTGATTGTAGAACGAGGGGAGCCCGCAGCTATCTAGACTAACTATAGTTCTACCCACGGTATGGTTTAACCAGCGGCAGCGCAACAGTCTCTGCCGTCGGTCTAGCCACATAAACGTCATTCAACACGTCTGCCCTGGAACGGCTCAATCTTCGGTTGACGAGGGTCTCCCACTTTATTCAGGAGCACCGTATACGTGCCTATTACCAGGCAGGCAAAGCCATCATCGTGGCCGACTCCTCTGTGGAGTTGACAAACTCTCGGGCTTGTGGGGTCTCCGCATCTCGGAGATGCCCCCGTGTGGGGCAAATCCTTTCCCTTTTGTAAAAGATAACCAAAGCTTTCGGTGTATAGCAGGTTAGACCCAAAAACCATGGTATAAAACCCACGTTCTGTCATCTCCAAAGCGAGGCCTTTCAGACGCAGACACATAATCTTCCCTATCTCACTTTATCTTGCTGACGTTCCCATAATGAGGAACCCTTTTTCTCGTTCATCAGGGAATGGTGATGATGCACCCTCAAAAATTCACGGTTATCGAGTTTACATCGTGGCTCTCTCGGCCGCCTGGGTAGGAATGGCGAAACAAAACGTTCTGGGTGCAATCCTGCTGACATGAATTTCTCCCAGGCCTCGGCGATGTACGGCTACGACTCGGCTTTTATTGGAGGGACACTAGAGCTTCCAGCATTTAAAACTTCTTTTGGTATAGACGGGAATAACTCAACCACTCTCTCATCCAACGTAGTGTCGATGTTTCAAGCGGGTGCATTCTTCGGTGCCATTTTTGGGTTCTTCTCCGCCGAGTATTTTGGTCGGAAGCCCGTCATTCTCGGATCGGGTGTTGTCTTTACCATCGGATCAGGCCTCCAACTCGTGGGACGTATCGATGAGCTCTACGCCGGACGGGTGTTGACAGGACTAGGAGTCGGGTAAGCGTATCTCCTTACTTAGGTATGAGGTTGACGACCAACCCTTTGAAAGCGCATCCTCCACCATGATTCCTGTTTACATCTCCGAATGCTCTCCAGCCCTCGTCCGCGGGCGCCTCGTCGGTTGCTTCGAGATCATGCTACAGGTGGCTCTTGTCTTCGGTTTCTGGGTTAACTACGGCGTCGACAAGAATATACCGAGCACAACTTCTGCCCAATGGAGAATCCCCGTCGGCATCCAGATGATTCCAGCTGGACTGCTATTGATCTGTATGTCATGGATGATAGAAAGTCCACGTTGGCTTGCTAGCAAGAATCGAATCGTCCAAGCACAGAAAAACCTCGCTTGGGTCCGCAATCTTCCATTCGACCACCCCTACGTGGTCAATGAGTTGGCCGAAATCCAGGCTGCTGTCAACCAAGAACTTGAGATGAGTGGTGGAGGACGGACACTGTCACACATTGTGCGTGAATGTGCTGCCCCCGGTGTCCGGAATCGAATCTTGATTGGAGTGATGCTGATGCTGCTACAAAATCTTACTGGGTATATTCCTCCTCTCCTTACGATATTTTGTAACGGTGTCTGACTTTTCCTCAAGAATCAATTCTATCAACTACTACAGTCCAACCATCTTCCGCTCGGCAGGATACTGAAACTCCAGACGGTGACTATGGTGTGTGAGAGAAGGCGCTGACGTTTTACTCATTTTCAGATTGGATTCACTGGAACCTCCGTCGGACTTCTAGCGACCGGAGTCTATGGCCTAGTAAAAATGTGCACAACAATGGTATTCATGATCTGGATCGTGGATCGGTTCGGACGTCGCGGTCCCTTACTAGTTGGCGCGATCGGCGCAGCAGTAGCAATGTTTTACCTGGCCATATATTCCCAGCTAAGTCAATCCTTCGACCAAGTTCCACCTAGCGACTCTGGGTCACGAACGGCGGTCGCAATGATCTACATTTATGCAATTTTCTACGGGTTCTCCTGGAACGGCATTCCCTGGATATTTGCATCGGAAGTCCTTCCAACTCGTGTGCGGACCATCGGGATGATGTGTGCTGTGTGCATGCAGTGGTTGGCTCAATTCATTATCGTCTACTCGCTGCCTTACATGATTGCCTCTATCAAATACGGCACGTTCTAATTCTTTGGAGCATGTACTATCGTTGCTTTGGTCTTTGCGTACTTGTTTGTTCCGGAAACGAAGGGGGTTCCTTTGGAGGATATGGGCATCTTATTTGGAGCAGATGTTAGTGTCTTTGCTACGAAAGCCCGGAAGAATTATCTGGAATTTCGACAGGCGGAGTCGAGGGTGGCTGCTGAAGCTCGGTTGGAGAAGCAGACTAGTTCTACCCATGTGATAAATGTGTGAAGGAAAGTCAAGGCCTATACTTTGGATGGTGGAGAGAGATGTATTCATATGAAAAGCCGCCAGCAATGAAAGGATATATCTTCCAAAATACTTCAATCTAATTTAAGAATTCTGTTGTCCGACAACTCTTCCAGTAGCTATCTTTCTTCTCCAGTTTCCCTGCATATGTTCGCACCGGGAAGTCTGTATCAGTGTCTGGCTCTTTCGAACAAGCCATACTCGAGCAAGCTCTACGATATACTTTTTTTTCTTCTTTTCCTCGCGGGGCTGGGGGTGGCTATCCTCCCGGCGACAATGCCCCTTGACACAACGCCGGTAACGGCTCCGAAGCTGCTCCGAAAAAGTAGACGTTTCGGGCATTCCTCCGAACTTCCCCTCACCTCGGACTTCCTGCATTATCTCACTCGAAGGAGTGGCTCGCTAAGCCACTCATGCATGTTATTAGATAATCCTATAACTTGAGTGAGGGAAAGAAATCTCATCGAAAAAAAGGCCTCCGCAATCTGTCATAGAGCTCATTTTGATATCTGTACTGTCGAACCTGCCGAACATGGATTCGACCATGCCCCGATCTCTATCTCCTCAGGAACCGATCCCAAACCGCCTACAGGGCCTAGTAGCCCTTATAACCGGAGCTGCAGGGAACATCGGCCTGGAATCTGCTCGGCGATATCTTCTAGAAGGCAGGGGCAGTAGGTGAGGCGCCTCCAATTCGCTGTGTAAATTCGAAGCGTAAGCGGGAAGGGATAAGATAAGGGGAAGGGAAAATCTAATTAGGAATAAACAAAGGCTTCCTAACCGTGTTTGGCCAATCTGACTATTAGACCTTATCACTGCCGTAGATCCTTAGTACTTAGCCTCCACTTCGTCCCATCCGAGCTTGGAGTTTGGGGAGGTACGTACGCACTTTCGGGAGAGTGAAGGATGACATCACGTACCAGAAAATACAGGGTGTCTCAGCGAGAAGCGAGAGCTTTCACTCGCAAACGGGCTGTGGCAGCATGCAGGGTCTGTCGCTCGCGAAAAATCAAATGCGACAATGCTCGTCCGACCTGCTCTTCGTGCCAGATCTGTCTCTGAGTCGCATTGCGTATATCAGGACCATGTAGATTTCTCAAAGTATGCTGAATCTCCCGTTAAAGTTCTATTTACTACACACACATGAATGCATGTGTTCACACACGTGTGTGGATCTACGTTTGCTACAACATGTTCACATCTAACGCTTACTAGATTCGATCCCGCCACCATTGCAATTCTCGATCGCTTAACCGAAATCCAACAGTCTCTTAATTCCATGACTCCTGAAGGGGTGACGGCAGCCCTGCCTCTGAAAGGTCCGCTAAATCAGTACACGGCTGAATTTAGCCCAAAAATACCACAGAATGTGTCCCTGAAGATCCCTGCAGCCAGGATATGTCCTGATGCAATTTTGTCGTGGCCGATTTTCCAAGAGGTTCGCTTGCAAACAACTTTAAATAGTCTCATTCTCGCGGACCACGATTATGGTCTCGAAGAAGTTGCCAACACCGATGTCAATTTGGCTCTCATACCAGATCTTATTGACCGCTTCCTGCAGTTTGTGCACGTTAAGAATCCCGTGGTGAATACGGTCGTCCTACATCAATCGGCCGTCAGGGTCGAAGTGGGCAAGTCCTCTCGGAACGCTCATTCCTGTTTAGTGGTGAGTAAATGGATCCCCTCTCCCCAGAAGTGCTAGGCAAAATAGACAGTCACCGTCACCTCCGATCTCAGAGCCACGCTAAGAATATGTATTTAAGTTCCTCGCCTGTGCCTTAGGCTGTTTAGCAGGTCCACTTCGATATGATGATCGCTCGGCAGAATGTGATGACCACGCTGAATCCCTTCATGCTACAGGAGAGCAGTTCTATCAGAAAGCGTTGGAGAGGCTCTCCCTACCCGGCGATCGTATTTTGACCACGCAATGCTGGTTTCTTAGCGGTGTCTACCAGATGTACAAGCTAAATGCCGCTAGAGCATGGATGGACTTTTCTCGAGCCTCCGCCATTCTGAGCCTCCACTTGCGACACAGGGAAGCAGCTGTGGGTAAATACTCCAACGGGGGGCATTTAGAACCGGCAGAGCTGGGCCTATATTGGACATGCTGGAAGTCAGAATGGTGACTTCTATCCTTCTTTTCTCTTCTGCCAGTTCCCTCTGGGTAACTGTTCGATCTAGGTTGAGGCTAATATTCGTAATCTATCCAGTGACTTACGCGCGGAGCTCGACATACCCGATTCGATTTTGTGTGAGTTCAACGTGTCCGACGGGGTATCCAATACCCTCGTCCGTAAGCTCGACCGAGTCGGAAGCTGTGCTGTCCGGGACACCAACAGACTCAGAAGACTTGTCACATCTCTGGAAGTTGTCCACATATTACTACTTGTCTGATGTGGCACTTATGCGCGTAGAAGCGCAAATTCTCAACTTTATGTACAGCACTAATGACTTGCAATGGTCGCCTGCCAACCTATCTTACATGTGCCGGACAGCCGCGGATCTCGAATCCCAAATAGATCAGTGGTAAGTTGCCAAAAACAAAACTCAACTTTATTAACGGGGTAGGGGCTTTTATATATTCTTTTATTGACTGCCTGGTGTCCGACGTCAGGTCCAGAAACCGACCATCCATAATCCACTTCGAAGAATGGGACTCGGCACCCAGGTTTGAGCTGACGTACAACCTGCAAGCACGGGTTCTGCAGCTGAGATCGTGGCTCTATCGGCCATTTGTATACTACGCAATCCATCATGACGGCGGGCATATTAATGAGAACGAGGAGGCTAAGAGGTTTATGCGGAAAGCTATCGAGTGCAGTTTCCATATGATCAACTCCAAGGCGACGCAGCACCGGCATCATGGAACCTGGTTTGTCGCCCGTGGTGTACTCAGTTCAGCCCTGTTAATCATTGCAGCTGTCAAGGCGGACAAGGGACTCGTGGACTATTTGGCAGATTGGCCGGACTTGTTAGACCAGGCGATAAGGTCTTTGACTCATTGGGCTTCGGAGGCGCGGGATCTGGCTTACGCGGCTGTTGTTCTTGCTAATCTCAAGCAAAAGTTGTGTACTTAAAATGATTGAGCTATATACAACAATTTGTTATCCTCGAAGCTTGAAGGAGCTAAGGTAAGAAAAAGAAGACGCGACCATTTCTTCATACATGTAAGCATCAGGAACCGTTGAAACGTTAAATCGCCCCAAACCAGACCGACTGCCCAAGTGACTTACAGCCAGTATAACCTATTCTGAATTGACGAAGGCGACGCTGGCAGTGGCTGATGGTTAAATTCACCACGTCATAGCAGCGACACACCTTGCAAACTCGACACGGCTATTACAAAGTCGTACTGATCATCCCGGTAATGACCGTTAAGGTCCCACATAGCCATTCGAGCTTTCAACTGCTTCATCGCCACACCCACAGCTATCAATGTCATTTTACTGAGTCATGACAGAGTCCTAAGGTCATTCTAATCAGTGCTATCATAGAGAGCACGTGTCCTCTTAGGCATCAGCCCTACGAAAGCTTCTATACCACGTGTCAGTAAAGCGGCAAAACTCCGTCCCTACTGAGTAAGTCCGAGCAAAAACAGGTAAACCGTTCCCCTCCGTTGGAATCCCAGTCAAGTTATCTCATCCGAAGCCCTACCAGCCAAGCACCAGTCAAATAGTGCTTGGTATCAACGTGGATGAAATGGTGCGCTTCAATGAGCATCGCATCTTATCCACGGCTCCACGCACGTGAACCCGCATGCGGCAATGATTGGTTCGGCTCCACCGAGCTTTATCTGATGCGCCAATTGCATGAACGCATGATAACAAGGATGAGATCCCTGTTGCGACTGGCTCCTGATTGGTAGTCACGCTTGCATACGCATGTAACCATCCTAGTGGGAAGAGGCTACACGCCCAGATAAAAACCTGCCCTCGTGCTCATCCTCCTGCAGCACAATGAGATTTTTCCCAATCCATCTCCCGCTGGTGTTCTTTGCTTTGCAACATTGCGATGTCTTCTGAGAACTCGTGGGAAAACTCTCAGTCGAAGGATGTTGGCGTCCTGGAGACACACGTCCAGGTCATCGATACCTCCGACGCTGATCCTTCGGCTGAGGTGTCCCGCAAGAGACAGAGTCTCTCTGACTTTTTGACCATTGTCAGTTTCCTTCTTTGGCTGCAAATCTACTTTGATTCAATATCTGCTTGGACAATGTTACTGATTATGTTTCTAGCTTGCTAGTGGATTCGCCCTCATCAGCGATGGGTACCAGAATAACCTCATGTACTTACCCCGCAAACGATGGGCCGATGTACCCCGCTGATAGTATGCAGGACTATGACCAATGTGCTTCTAAAGGCAGAATACCCCAAACAATACGTTTCGGCTGTATCGACACGTGTATCAAATGCCCTGCTTGTTGGGGAAGTTATTGGTCAGATTGTGATCGGGTTTGTCTATGGCATCCTTTTCACACACACATAGAGAGACTTGCTAACTCTACGCCTAGATTAACATGCGACTACATCGGACGCAAAGCTGCCATGGTTTTCACAACTCAAATGATCGTAATCGGCGGTATCTTGGCCGCCGCATCACACGGTGTCACTATCAACGGCATGTTCTGGATGCTGACAGTTTCACGTGGTATTATTGGCTTTGGTAGGTGCAAATCCTTCCGGTACGCTGGATTAATGAGTGCTGATTATCTCAGGAACCGGAGGTGAATATCCCGCATCGTCAGTTTCGGCATCCGAAACCGCCAACGACTTGACCTTGAAGCAGCGCGGTCCAGCCTTCATCATGGTGACAAACTTTCCGCTGTCATTTGGTGGTCCCTTTGCTGTTCTGGTTTTCTTGATTGTATTCTCAGCATGCCAGCAATCCCACTACAGCACCGTCTGGCGCGTCTGCTTCGGTATCGGGTGCATCTGGCCTCTTTCCGTGTTCTACTTCCGGTGGCGCATGCTGAACTCGGCGCTCTATCGCCGCGGAGCCATCAAGAAGCAAGTTCCATATGGCCTGGTGATTCGCTATTACTGGAAATCACTCATTGGAACCTGTGGTGCCTGGTTCCTCTACGGTACGTACCCTTCACCATCACCTGATCTGTCAATCACATCTAACCTTATACAGACTTCGTCACCTTCCCCAACGGCGTCTTTTCCGCCAGCATCATCTCCTCCGTGGTCGGAGACGACTCGATCCTCAAAACCGGCGAATGGCAGCTCCTCCTCGGAGCCATTTCCCTTCCCGGTGTCTTCCTCGGCGCTCTCTTCTGCAACAGACTCGGTCGCAAAAACGTAATGATGATCGGATTCGGCGGCTACCTCATTTTCGGTCTGATTATCGGCTGTGCATTCGAGAAAATCACCAAGATCATCCCCCTCTTTGTGGTCTTCTACGGACTCATGCAGAGTTCGGGCAACTTTGGCCCAGGCAACATGCTCGGCTTACTTTCGTCGGAGCTGTACGCCACCGGTGTTCGGGGTACTTGCTATGGATTGTCTGCGGCTGTGGGAAAAGCAGGCGCTGCTATTGGTACCCAAGCGTTCACTCCCATTGAGGATAATCTGGGTAAGAAGTGGACATTTATCATTGCGGCTATCTGTGGTATTGTGGGAATTTTGGTGACTTATTTCTTTGTTCCGGACATTTCGGGTGAGGATTTGAGAATCCGTGATGAGAAGTTCCGGGCCTACCTTGTATCGAAGGGTTGGGATGGTGCTATGGGTGAGGATGATATGCAGGCCTTGGCGGATGAGGGCATTCCGCCGTCTCTCAGGGAGGAAAAGTGATAATGGTTTCCTTGTTGGGCATTGGGGTGGCATAAATAGTGAATAATGTGCTTACATGATTATATTGAATTGATGACTTTTATGAGCATACCATAATGATTGATCACACGATAATGTTCCAGACATCTTAGCAATAGCTTAACGAAGTATAAGGAGGGTGTCTGCCACTACGAAGGGGGTGGACAATCCTTGTAGGATTGCAACCCCTTCGAGGGTCTGTTAGAGCGGAGTGATCCCCTAGTATTTCCCTATCGTTTGATTCCCTAGCACAAATATTATCTTTCATCCTTCATCCCTTGATTGGTATGCACTCCAGGGTTTTTTTGTCGTTTCGGATTCCATCTGTGGCCATCAGTGAAACAAGGGGTGGTGTATCTGGGAACTGATTTCCGCACCCCAACCACACCCCTGGGACCTGCATACCCGCCCTGGCATGCAACGGTTGCCAAAGGGTGTGGGCCTGACAGCAGCACCGTTGGTGGAGTTTGTTCATGTTGTTGTGAGGAACTAACACCCACCTAGTGCACTCCAGCACCAACCCTGCAGCTGTTTCTCAGTATGCAGGTTCACCTTCCCCTGCCAGTCATTTGTAGCTAACATAGTAGAGAGGAGTATCTAAGCGGACTATAGCATGTTTAGCAAGATATTACACCAAGGAACTCACCAATGCAGTGGGTTCTAGTTGACAAATTCTGTCCCGGTTTCTGCACAACACCATAACATTCCTGCCTTGCCGATCGGGCTCACCACCATGGAGTCTTCCCAGTTCTTTCTTTCGAGTATGGTGTTAAGGGATTCTGTCAAATTCTCTTTAAAGACTACCACCCACCCACGGTACCAGAAAGTCAACAGCGAAGGGCCAGTCAGGTCCTCCCTCTACTTATATCCCCAAGGGTGTCCTGTCACTTAAGCATCTCCCTCAATAAGATAGTCCCCACGATTTCCTAATCGGGAACAAGTAAACCGGGTAAGGAATCCGCACCGTTACACAAAGTCTCGCGAGGCAGATGCAGGGTCTGTTTATGTTTAAATCCCTCTGTTAGCCGGAAATTGGAGTTCTGTCAACTTATCTTAGTTTTTCTTTCTTTAATTTTCTATAGGGTGTATCTCATCCGGTTTTTGAAATCACCACCAGACAGTCACAATGAAGATAAACACGGGCACTTTCTTGGCCCTCGTCCCAAGCTATATTTCTCTGGCAGCAGCAGCAGCATCATCATGCTACGCTCCGGATGGCTCACAAGTGGACAGCTCAATATACCAGCCATGCGTCTCCATCTCGGGTGTACATTCGATGTGCTGTAAACTCAAGGATGCGGATCCAGATACGTGTGATCCCTCGGGACTTTGTCAGACAAGTGGAGGAGCATATTATCGGGAGTTCTGCACGGATCAATCATGGAACTCGACGAACTGCTTGCCAAAGGACATCTGTGGTAATCAGGTCAGTCTCTCCATAGACTTTACCAGACAAACTAGCAGCTGATCATAACAACAGAATGGCGGAAACTCCGACTGGACCTACCAACTGACCAACTGCGGCGACGGATCCTGGTGCTGTGGTAGCACTACTGCCTGCTGCAACACATATGAGACATTTACCCTTGATTCAACACTCCTCAAATTCTCTCCTAATGACGACTCGAATTCTAAGTCAAACTCCGGCTCCAACTCTAAGTCTGGTTCTAGTTCAAATTCCGGTTCTGGTTCCGACTCCAATTCCGCCTCCGATGGTTCTTCTACCTCTGCACCCACAACAACAGGAACTGGAACCCCACTGGGTGACGGTAGCAGCGGCATCAACAGCGAACCGAATCAATCCGATTCTGAAAAATCGAAGAGGCTCGCGATTGGACTCGGTGTTGGGCTACCATTGGCATGCATAGCCGTGGCTATGCTGGGAGCTGGATATCTCTGGGGTAGAAGGGATATGAAGAAGGAGTTGCAGCCGAAGTTCCAACCACGTATTATAAATCTTCCGCTAGAGAAGCCAAAGGGTGAGATAGGGTGTCCGCGTCCGGCGGATGATGATTCGAGCGTGTCTCATTGTTTGGAGATAGTGCGGAGCCCTTGAGTATGAGATGAAGGGTTGATGGAAAGGAGTTTCTTGGGTATTAGGGTGGCTGTCCATTCTGTCTTATGCTCCTTTCTGTTTTGAATTCGCCGGGCTATTGCTGTCCCCGGTGGTGTGTATCAATATCCCATGATGCAGAGTCTAATTTTATTAATCGATACCTTGTTCGCGATTGCATCTGCAGTTTGCTCCGATACTCTATCAAGTTTTACCTAGAATCAAGTTCGTGTCTGGCGGGACAGAGTGTTGTACATTGCCGGGTAGGGACCTGCCTCCTACAGCATAGCTTTAAGCATTTATCACTCTCTACGTAATAGTGACAAGCCATTTACTTCAACTCATAACAGCAGACACCTCCGCTAAACGCAACACTACTTAATCCGTACAACCTACGCCAACTCATCCTTGCATTAGACCGTGACAGCTGCAGCCAAGACAAGGCTAGATCGTAGCCTCATCCTACATCCCTTCAGCCGGCGCACCTCATATGAGCTACCCATCCACCTCAGCACTCGGCGCTTAACCCTCCACCAAACATCTATCCACCAACCGTACAGCATAAATAGCCGCTTGCCAACAAGGACCCGAAACACTTTTAAGCTATGAGCTCAAAAGTTCCCAATGTTTCAGACACCCATCCCAATGCATTCCACACCTATTATATATATATTCATATAACCCCAACCCCACCACCACAACTACCAACCACACCCACTCACAATGCCCCAACTCACAGAACCAAAAAAGAGTCTTCCACCCCTCCACACCTACACCATTGCCTACATCACCGCCCTCCCCAAAGAACAAACCGCCGTCCTGGCCACTCTCGACAGCATTTACCACCAGCACATCCCAACCCCCGCAAGCGACAAAAACATCTACACTGTCGGCTCCATACCACCGCACAACATCGTCCTAATATGCCTCCCTACCATGGGAACAACCTCCGCCGCGAGCGCAGTGACATCGCTTCTGCACACGTTCCCGTCCATCAGGTTCGCTCTGCTCGTTGGCGTGGCGGGTGGTGTTCCGAGGAATGGGGTTCGGTTGGGTGATGTGGTTGTTAGTGTGCCAGTTAGTGGTGGGTATGGGGGTGTGGTGGGATGGGATATGGGCAAGTTAGTGGCTGGCGGGAAGATCGCAATGCAACATGCTGGAGGGAGCTTGAATCGGCCGGGGAGTAAGTTGCTTGGAGCGGTGAATCGGTTGAGGAGCGAGTATGAGTTATCTGGGATCGGGGTGGGGAGAGTTCTTCGGGATTTGGAGGAGAGGGGTGGGTTGAGTCTGGGGAGTGAGTTTACGAGGTGTGAGGGGTTGAATGATCCGGTTGTTATTCGGGACAGAGATGGGGATGGAGGGTGGTGGTGGTTGTGGGGTGCTTTGGGGAGGATGGTTTGGGGGATCATTGGTGCTGTTTTGGTAAGTGTTTTTGGGTTTTCTTCGGAGGGTATGAGAATTAGGGTGGAGGAGGGGAGGAAGAAGAGGGCAGGGGGTGTAATTGGTGAAGAGAAAAAAGGTAAGAAGCAGGTGAATGTGCACTATGGCCTTATTGCATCGGGAAACTGGGCTGTGAGGGATGTTAAGGCTCGAGATGCTCTCAATAAGAGGTTTGATGGGCAACTTCTCTGTATAGAGAACGGTGGAGCTGCCGGGGTGATGAATGAGATTCCGAGCATTATCATCCGTGGCATTTCGGATTATGCGGACGCGAGCGCGAATGAGGACTGGCAGGCATACGCAGCTACTGTGGCTGCGGCTTATGCAAAGGAACTGCTGGGGTTCTTGCACCCGTGTCTTGACGATAATGAGATGTTTTATCGTTCTAGGGCTGGGGTTGAGAATGGTAAGTGGGTACTTTTCTCATTTTCCGTATATGAGTAGAGAAACCTTGACTGACCTCCCATTTCCGAAGATGTGACTCTAGGAAGGGGAGATATAGGACAAGCAAAGTCCGCTTTCTCCAGACAAGAAAAAGGCCCAGTCTCTAATCCTGGTATACCTCCTGAGTACAGTGTACAGTGAACTGCGGCGCTGAGGGGATAAGAGATATCCAAACACTCTGGTGTGTGAAATGATTCGGACTAGTGGCTCTAGACGAGCCAGACCATCGCCATGTTGTCCCTTGCATCATCTGCAAGATTGACCGGTCTACATGTACTGCAGAAGAAGCCTAATAGAGCTTGGAATTGCCTGCATTGGCAGACGTATCCAACCAATCCAATTGTGATGGGGTGGAGCTGTCTTACATCTACCCGAGAGGAACCAAAAAAATAGCAAAAAGAATGGGACAAGCCGGGCTTGAACCGGCCACCTCCAGATCTTCAGTCTGACGCGCTCCCAGATGCGCCATTGTCCCTTACTCTTGAAAGACGCTCACAACTCATGTTATACAAAGCAGTGCTAGGATACTGAAGCCAATTGATCATGATTACCCGATCGAACTCCGTAGTGGCTGCGAGATAAACTTCTGAGCGACTTTGCAGATCCATGATTGTCACGCCAAGAATATACGCCCTTGACTGCTCGGCCGGAGCTAAATCAAGAGGTGAACCTCGTCTTATTGGTCAATGAAAAAGAGTATGCAGAATAAACTGGCAGCTAATTTATCGCATGTGCTTCTTGATTATGTCGATACTACCAAGAGTGTCATCGACAGCTTTATACTAGATTGAACGTAATAGCACGGGAATATATCTCATATTAACAGCCAATATCTGCGCTAAGCAGCGAAAGGATACATGAGTGAAGCGAAAGAAAGCTAAATGAAAACAGAACGTGGAGCATGACGTCCAAAATTCAACAAAATATCCGACTATACATGTGACAGGCAAACAGCAGCCTACCATCCGTATGCGGACTTTGTGGGCACCGAGCTCCAGGCAGCCTGCGGCGTAATAGAAGCAGTCTTGGTGTGCGTTGCAGTCTTGGTGGACGTGACGTATTTGGTAGTCTTGACCGTCTTCGTTTTCTCTGCAGTCTTAGTCGTGTGGGCGGATTTGGTACTCGTGGACTTGGAAGTCTCTGTGGTCTTCGTCTTTGATGAGGTCTTTGTGGAAGTCTTGGTCGACGTCTTCGTAGAAGTCTTCGTCGAGGTCTTGGTTGAAGTCTTGGTCGATGAGGTCTCAGAGCTAGAAGAAGAAGACGAAGAGGTCGAAACATAAACCTTGCCCAGGGCGTTGACCGATCCACTGGTAAGCAAGAAATTGTTTGCGGTATAGAAGTAAGCGTAACGGCCCACCTTGGGGTGGGAGTCCATCCACTTGATCGATTTCTCAAGGAAGGTCTTAGCCGTGGACTCGTTGGTGATGCCGCTGGTGTCGGTGTCAAGGGCAAACTCGGTAAGCCAGACCTCGTCAATATCATACTTCGAGGCAGTCTCGATAGCTTCCTTCATGTACGACTCGAGCTGAGCAAACGACCCACCGTACCAGTGGACAGCCATAGCAGAGATGTTGCAGCTCTTGCAATCGCTCATGAATGTCTTGAACCAGCTAAGACCCTCGCCGGACTGGGTGGATGAAGTGATGGCCGGACTGACGAGCTTGGCGCGATCTCCGTACGGGGTGATATACTTCTTGTACAAGGTAGCAGCCTTGGAGGCACCAATGTTGGCCTGCGAGGCGTTGTCCGGTTCGTTGAAACCCAGGATATGTTTGCTGCCATCCTTCAATGCAGTCTTTACCGCAGAATCCCAGTCATCCACCGAGTCGGTACCCCAGAGCATCGGCACGAATTCAACGCCCGATGGCATGTTCCCGTTCTTCTTCATGTCCCAATTGTATGACCACGACATACTTCCAGACTTGCTTTTTGCCAGGGTACGGACAAGTGAGGCATCGTTGTAGGCTGCACCACGCTTGCTGGAGGATGCTGCAGCTGAGGCTACCACCAGGGCAGCAGTGACGAGCCTTGAGAAAGAGACCATATTGCTGCCAAGACGGATGAGCTGGTAAAAAAGAAGGAACGTGATTGACGGTACAGAAAAGAGTGATATGTCTCGTCAGAGTAAAAGAGCAATTGAGCTGTGAAGGAGTGACACTGTGCGCAGCACAGGATTAGGATAGCAATATTAGGGACACACGAGTAAGATGCAAATCACCCAGGGAAAAGGGCGGTTTTATGTAGGTACACTGCATGATGGGCAGCTCTCTGCAACTCCCATAGACAGCCTTGCATCAGCCAACAGTGAGCCAGCCAAGCCCGGTTTTAGATCCTGGGATATATTAAGGATCAGGTAGATCCTAAGGCCTGGCTTACGATAGGTCACAGGAGCTTGAACAGGAGCTCATGCAGCCAATGTAAAACAGCAGTCAATGGGGCCAAATGGTGCGAACAGGTATAACTGGGAACTCCTGTCTCATTCACAGCCCGGTCAGCTGGGTGATACTAAACCATGTTGGCACAGCTCGTTGGGGGCCATCTTCCATCGACATTCGATTTCGAGCTGATCGATGCTTTGCCCAAATGGGATTAGGGTGTGTATAAATCATGTGATGAATTGTGAAAGCCACGTGTTGGAAATGATGATCTCAGCAGCCGCTTAGTAATAGATAATTGATGTTCACGTGATATGAATCTGGAAGCGGACCGAGAAAAAGAAGTGAAGGATCGGCGGGTCAAATCTGGTGGATCTCGGATGATATCTATTCCATGATATGGCTCTGCAGAATGTGAATCTGGGATAACCCACTGCAATCCTGGCAGCGCATTAGGCGAGTCTCAAGATCTCAATTGACTTTCTTCACCTACGAAAACATGATGTAGATAGCATGAATACAGGACGATCAAGTGCCCAAGCAAACGCTCAAGCAAGCTCTCAATTCGCCACGAAGGAGGCGCAGGCATGACTCGCTAAGTTCGCCATATCGAAAGTTCGTGGAAGACTGCTAATTCAGACTTCGGGAGAAATTTTGATTCGGAGGTGATTTCCGCATTGGTTGGCGGCGACAACAATGGCTGAGTCCACCGGGCCGAGTGCACGTTCCATTTCAAACCCATTCAGTCTCCTTGCAATTCCAAGTCTTCATCCAGAAATAGTATTCTTTTTAACTGACTTAACTGACAATGTGCCCTGGATTCCTCCACTTTGAGCTTGAATCTAGTCAAGGATCCGTCATGGATGGGGGCGAAGTTAGAAACGATAAGATAGACTTCATTTTGCGACGGCATTGGAATTGTTCTTCGGGAGCGAAACCGAGTAACCATGGCAGGATTTGACGCTTGCCCATCTCCCGAAGTGGGTCGGCAGGCAGCCAAATATCTAGACGACCGTTTATTGATTGGATTGACCACCTAAGGTTCTCGGCTAGTGCCGTTCTCATACGCATGCACTTACGTGATGTTCTCCTATACCAAGAAGCCCTATCCCATTCAGGCTTCGCTTCCACGAATACAGAGCTCGGGAGCCCCGGTACGGAGTCAACACATTGAAATGGAAAGTTGGAAGTCTCTTCTCAGATGAGAGTCTGCGTCGTGGCGAAAAGGCTTGACTTATATGTTCGGACCAGACTGGGTGGGGATTCAGCAATGACTCCTATCTATACTGGCGATGGCTGCGTGGGGTATTCGCGGACCTCTGACGCGTCACCACCTATTCGTGGAATCAAGGGGATGAAAGCATAGACGGTTTTCTTGGCCGTGGGAAGTTGGATCCAGGACTCCACAGGTGCGGCAGCATTTCTACAAAAGCCCTCTTGGTCGCGGAGGGTGATGAAGCTGTACCAAACTCCCACTCTCGTTAATAGTCAAGCATTGGTAGACCCAAGCTCAACTTTTGCTGTCCATTAGACTTTCTTTCGTTTTGCAGTTCTTGTTTATATGCCAGTACTCTCGTTTGTATTCGCCAATTGTTTGATTTTATAAAGCATATCGCCATGAGACTTTCCCATCTGGCTGCTGGTGCAGCCCTTTTCGCCAGCTCGGCGCTCGCCGTCGACCCCATCGAAATCAAGGTATGATCCCCTTATCCTATTATAATTTTCAATGCTCATTCCCTCTAGGGTTCCAAGTTCTTCTACTCCAGCAATGACACTCAATTGTAAGTATTCATCCGAAGATACTTTCACAGTACGATCGATTCTAACATGTTTCCAGCTTCCTTCGCGGTGTGGCGTATCAGCGTCGGTAGCCAAGCTCCTGATATAACGTTCAAAACTAATACTCCATAACAGAGAGCACCACTGCCGACCCCTTGAGTACCAAGACCACCTGCGAGCGTGACATCCCCTACATGAAGGAGCTCCGCACCAACGTCATTCGTACCTACGACATTGACCCTACGGCCGACCACGATGACTGCATGCAGCTTCTCGCTGATGCGGGCATCTACGTTATTGCTGATCTTTCCAACACCAGCGTTGCCATCGACCGCAGTGACCCTACCTGGCAGCTCACCCTCTACAACCGCTACACCAGCGTCATCGACGCAATGGCCGGTTACAACAACACTCTCGGTTTCTTTGCTGGTAACGAAATTGCCAACAGTGTTGGAACTACTGAGGCCATGCCTTACGTCAAGGCTGCCATCCGTGATATGAAGACCTACATCAGCAACAAGGGATACCGTTCTATTGGTGTGGGATACGCCACCGCTGACGTTTCTTCCATCCGTAATGACCTGGCCGACTACATTAACTGCCAGTCGGAGTCCGTCGGCATTGACTTCTTCGGTTACAACATCTATTCCTGGTGCGGTGACTCGACCTACGCGGAATCCGGATACGAGGCCCGTACCGAGGAGTTTGCCAACTACTCCGTTCCTGTCTTCTTCTCCGAGTACGGTTGCAACAGTGTGACTCCCCGTACCTTCACTGAAGTTGCGGCCCTCTATGGCGACACCATGTCCCAGGTCTGGTCTGGCGGTATTGTCTACGAGTACTTCCAAGACACCAACGACTATGGTACGTCCTCTCCTTTCTTCGCTACTTTCACATATTCAATCTAACAATCTACAGGTCTGGTCTCCGTCATCGACAGCACCAGCGTCAGCACCATGACCGACTTCAGCTACTACTCCAAGGAAATCGCCAGCGCCACCCCCAGCAGCACCAACAAGGCCTCCTACACCCCCACCAACACCGCCCTCCGCAGCTGCCCTACCGAGGACTCCTCCTGGAAGGCCAAGGCCTCTCCCCTTCCCCCGACTCCCGACGCTGATCTCTGTGAGTGCATGGTCGACGCCGCCACCTGCACTGTCAAGGACTCCCTCGACTCCGACGACATCGGTGACCTGATGGGCGAGGTTTGCGGTATGACGTCCTGCACCGGTATCACCGGCAACGGCACCACCGGCAAGTACGGCGCCTACAGCATGTGCAACAGCAAGCAGCAGCTCGTCTTCGTCCTGAACGAGTACTACGAGAAGCAGAAGTCCGCCGGTAACGCCGCCTCTGCTTGCAGCTGGGGTGGCTCCGCTACCACCAAGTCTGCTACCTCCGCCACCGGCTCTTGCAAGACTTACATGTCCGAAGCTGGTACCGCCGGCACGGGTCTCGTTACTTCTGACGCTACTGCCACTGCTGGATCGAGCGGTTCGACTGCCTCGTCTACTTCCGGCTCCAGCGTTTCCGGTGGTGCCAAGGCTGTCCATGTCGGTTACTTCCAGCTCGCTGTTTACGTGGTCGTGGCTGTTGCTAGCGGAATTGCTATGATTATGTTGTAGATGGATTGAATTAGAGAGCCCGCTGTTGTGTGGGGTCGTTAGATCGCTTCTGCGTGTTCTTTTTTTCATCTGCTATTTTGTTTTCTGTTTCTGTTTTTGCTCTTGTTGATCGAGTCTGTACTTGACAATTGGACAATATTATCTTTACCCAGTATATATTTATCTTCTTATTACAATCAAGTTGAATAATCATACTTCATTTCCAAAAAGGCACATATTAGCTCCTCGGCTTTCCCTGTCATAATAAATGTCCCCTAAGTATCAAAACAGCTCTGCACTAAATATAACAACTAGACACTTTGGCCGAGTGGTTTAAGGCGCAGGCCTGCTACTACATCTCCGTACTAGCTGATTAGCCTGTGGGTTCGCCCGCCTGGGTTCGAGTCCCAGAGGTGTCGCATATTTCTTTTTCCCAACTTTATTTTCTTCCTAGACCCACTTTAGGCAAACCATTGCTATCACAGTGGAGTTCACTTTTTTTAACCATGGTTAAGCATTTAAGCGTGAATCTATAATTTCATGGCGTAGTGGAGGCCAATATATCGGATGGAGTTTCTTGGCGGTGTTCGTTTAGATTGGCGAGGTGGAGCTGCGAGGGAGAAGACTTAAAAAGGAGGTATGACCGTGGGTTTATATATACCCGTGATAGCACCATTTTTCAGAGGAGTTATTCTGAGGTAGGGGCATGTTCTATATTTGCTAGCGGTGGGGATGAATCAGGTGTGGCGGATGGGATATTGTATGACCAGGGAGGAGGGGGTAGGTATCCATGTGAGACAGCATCCGACAGTATGCACCATTCAGCATCGGTTGTGGGCATTACTGCGGTTGGAAACTTCAATCGCTCGGCTTATCACCAGGTCCTCTAATCTGTCTGATTGTCTGCCCTCTCCTTCATCCTAAGTCTCCTCGGTTCCTATCCTCTAACCCCATCGACAATTCCATCCCCGTTCTATCTTCTCCACCGAATGGCCATCGCAAAGACTCGCCACGTAAGGGACCGTAGGCAGATGATAGTAGCTTGTTAGCCGCGCTCGTGTAGTAACGATCAACTATCCCGGTCTTTCCCCTCCCCCATCACTCATGGCGACACGAAGGGGGCGCATGTAGATAGGACGATGGCGTTGCAAGATATGGCATATCAATTGACGGTCAGTGGTCGTGGCCTGGATACGAGGGACGCATGAGAAGGGGAACCTAGGGTGTACCCTTAAACAATTGTTCAGTAAACAAGCGAGACATTGCTGCACGCTTCTTCTATGCTGTTTGGCCACCTCGAGGAATGCCAGTGTGCACAGGCATGCTGCACCTTCCCCGCGGAACAATTAGGTGGGGGATACGCGCTGCGGTTTCCCTGTATGTTGCAGGTTGGCGGGCCGTGTTGTTGGAGTTGATTCGGTATTATGGGCAGATTTAGGTATGGATGACCAGAGGTAGCTAATATGACTGATTGCGCCCACAGGGGAGGGGAGCAGGGTGCTGCAAGAATGATAGAACGCAACAGTACTTGTTATTTACTGAGCATTTCTCAAGACCCCGGGGCAGTGCTGACGTAGATGGCAGAAAATGGAGGTCACGGAGTAGAGAGATGATGTAGACTGCGTTGCTCGCTAGTTACAAGCTGTACTATGTGCTCAGTGAACTACGGGTTTGCTGCGACGTCTGCGGCCAGGCATTTTGTGTGGGCTACTAGCTTGAACATCTGGTCCTTGGCTTGATCTCTATAAGAAATACCATCCTACCATCCCTGGCACGTATATACCAGTAGTTGTTGGGAATACAACATATTGGATGTGGGATGATGGTTCCAGCTACTAGTGGTAAGTAGTACTTGGTATCAGTAGGTTCACAGGGGCAGTGGCTTTACCGTCTTGGAAGGTTGGTGGGTGAAAGCCGAAATATATACTACTACCATCTATCTCCCACCACAATGATCACCCAGAACTACAGTTCGCGCGATGAAGCCTTCGCTGATGGCATACTGCGTGACATCGAAAGCATAATATTCAGATATATAACATCATATCACAGTCTTACATAGAACGCTAAAGTAGTAGATGGCGAGAGGTTGAGGTTTAGTGATTGTTCAACCGGATGGTGAGAGCAGGCATACGACAGGACCCTTTGAGAAACCCCATAAAGCATATATGGTAAGCATCTTTCACCGAACTAGCCCGGCTAGCTCAATCGGTAGAGCGTGAGACTCTTAATCTCAAGGCTGCGGGTTCGAGCCCCGCGTTGGGCTGTTCAACTTCCTCTTTCCCTTTGCCCGGCTAGCTCAATCGGTAGAGCGTGAGACTCTTAATCTCAAGGCTGCGGGTTCGAGCCCCGCGTTGGGCTTTCTTTTTTACTTTTCATTTTTTTTGCCCTTTAGCAAACCTCCCAGCTACATGAAAGCTTTTTCTCTTACCTGTTGTTGGCGCCAGAGATAAAGTAGAAGACTATCTATCAATGATCAATTGAAACAATTTAATCGTTGTCCTCTCACTGGATCAACTACCGTCTTTTTCCATTGTCTACTTGGGCCGCATTCCTGATAGATAGATAACCTTGCGGCCCGCTGGTGATCACCCCACCAGAGAATCTGGAACAGTTGCGGAGGTTATGGACGAGGGGACAAACTACTGTTTCACGGTGGTCAAACAAAGTCATGAGATAGACATGGAGATCAATGTAGACAGACCATCTTCCAAATGAAAGCTTTCAGACCCTTGAATTGCATTCCAACACGCACTCCTTCTGGGACGCTATCTCGACGTAACACGTCATTAATCGTAAGGAATGATGTCAGTAAAAGAGATTGCTGGATCAACTTCGTGTTTCTGCAACAATGGAAGAGGGGGCAATTGCTTTCCAAAGCAAGTATCGGTGCTATTCTATGTACTAGAGACTCGTATATCAGTCCACCTCGTATTCTATAATAGTCGGATCAAACTCACCAATACCGTGCTGTCCAATCTCTAACCCTAGCATATATCTCTACTAGATAAGGATCAGGTTCGAGATCTTCCAATTGACCAATCTGACCAAGCCAAGCTTTCAACACCAAGTAAGTCGGCGATATAGTGGATCCCCGAGAGGTCCCTTCCCTGCGGGGTTGCCCTCATTTGTAAGCACTCCTTCCCTTCAATCGACATCATCTATAATCGTACTCTATCCACACCATATCATCGGTCTCTGACTTGAACCCGAATCACTCGAACTTCAACAAACCCATTGAAATTATAAGCCACCATGTCCACCCAATCCTCCCAAACAGTCTACCACTATCTCGACATCGGCCGTCTAGGCCGCGGCGAAGTCGTCAGGTCAGCTAACATCCACCTCCACACCCCCACCCCGCATCTCATTACCATCAATATCCACTAACCACAGAAAACCATGTATGGAAAAAGACTCTTCCTCAAAGACGCCGGTATCGAATTCAGCGAAGTCCGCTACCCGTATGATGAAAACTGGCCGCAGGTTAGCAAGAAGCTGCAGGAGCAGGGGATTACTCGAACTGGACTGGTGCCCGCGCTTGAGTATAAGGGGAAGATTCTAACACAGGTGCGCATTGCCTTCTATTCAATGTGATTGTTATCATCGTATGAATAATCTAATACGAGTCTAGCATATCCCCACCCTCCGCTACCTATCCCGCGACCTTGGCCGCTACGATGGCGAAACGAGCTGGGAGAAGTATGTCGTTGATGCGGTGGCGGATGTTTATATTGATTGGAGAGTAAGTAGCCCCTCCTCTCTTTTCTATTACTAGTACTCATCGTAATATAGAGCGAATGGGTCTCCAACTTCATGCAACCCTCTGAGAAATACAAGAACGAGTCCACAGCCAAGTACTACGATGTTGTGGGGAAGTACTACGCAGAGACGGAGGGTCCGTATCTTCTAGGGGATAAGGTCACGTATGCCGATTTCGCTATCTATCAGATTATCGATAACGATCGGAGGACGGGGACTATTGTGGTATGTATATTCTTTCTTTGCATTTATTTCCCGGGGGGATGTGTAAAGAGGGCTTACTCTTTTTCGTCGGTTAGGCAAATCTTACCGAGTCACTTGTTAGGCTTACGGATGCCTTTGAGAAGAGGGAGAATATTGCGGCGCTTATTCGGGAGACGAAGTAGAGGTGCTGGTTCCCACTGAGGCAAATGGATGCGAGTGCTGGGCGATGGGGTGAGAGTCAGATGTAATCTGCGTTTCATGTTCTACTCTCCTGAGGTGACACGGCGTGAATTTGGAACCGGGAGCAGGGACCAATAAAGGACTCGAAAGCCGTTCTGTGTACCGATTGTAGCAACTTTTATATCTCCATCTATCATAACTCATATCATCTCAATCCCGATTAATCTCCACCACCGGTCCCGTATACTCCTTCCTAGCCCAAATAACATAATACACCGTACTAATCAGACTTGTACCCACGGTACCAACAACGGCCCAGTTCATCGTACTAGCCGTCGGATTCATCTCATCCGGCCAGAAGCTGAAGAATACGCCCACGACCAGGTAAGCAATGGTAAAGGCATTCACTGAAACACCCAATATGCCACGCATTCTGAAGGGGCCCCAGGCAAGAGGCGCACCTGCCGTGTTTACAACTGTGTCTGAGGGTGCATCAGATGGTTCGCGAATACCGCCAGTGAGGCGCTGCCACATCAGAAGGAAGGCTGAAATCAGGTAGGAAGAGTAGAGGGCGCTGACGCAGAGAGAGACGACGTCATTTAGGACGGCTGCTGAGCCTAGGATGATTAGTGCGAGCAGGACGGCTGCACTGGTTACGACGAGAATGGACCATTGCGGGACGGCTTGAGCGTTGACCTAGGGTTGGGTTAGTGGATGGTTTTAAGCTGGCGAGGACGGGAGACATACCCTGCTGAGCACTTGCCATCCGGGGAGACCACGGTCTCGGGCGAAGGACCATGCCATGCGAGAGGAAGATGCCAATGATCCTACAGCAGTGGCAGTGACTAGGATGGGGACGATGGCTGACATGACGGTGCATCCCCCGAGGGATTTGGTGGCGGAGCAGAAGATTTGCATGTAGGGGTATCCTGTGGGTGAGGATAGTGCGGCGGTGGCGTCTGTCATAGTAAACAATGTGGACAGAATCATTCCAAAGCCCAGAGCCCCGTTGATCAGGACCGATGTGAGGATTGACTGCGGAACAACGCGCTCTGCATCGTAGATTTCTTCGCTCATCTGCCCAGTTGTATGTCAGTCAAGTAGAGGAGATTTGAGGCTGAGGGTGATGAAAACTTACGTGGACAGCCGCATCCACACCGGTAAAGGCAAACATGTTACCAATCATACCGACCATGAAGGCTAATCCCTGGGTTTGGAAGCCACCATCATTGGCAAACTGCCCAAAGACCTCAGAAGCAGAGTTGTGATCTCCCAGGTAAACCAACGGGATGATGATTCCGAAGAACCCAAACACGTGCAAGATCAGGACAAGACCCTCGAACTTGGGCAACAAGGTGCTTGTAATAACATTGACGAACACAGCAAAAGCCACAATGGCCCAGAACAGAAGCATTGTTTGCCAGGGCTCCGGGGTATAGGATGAATGGTTCAGGACCACCAAGCCCAGAATCTGAGAAGCACTTAGGTAGCAGGTTGATGCAAAGGCTCCCAACCAGCCAATAACAATTAACCATCCTAGAGATAGCTAGATTAGTGCCATGAGCGGCAGAGGATCATGGTTAGTATACGAACCTGTGAGAAAGCTGAGGTACTTCTGGCACCATCGCGGGGACATCATCGATACCCAGTGATATTGTCCTCCGGAAGTAGGGGCCCTTCAGATGACATAAGATTAGATTGTGGCCATATAACATGCCAATAAACTTACATCGAAACAAGTTCGGACAGCGTGAGAAACGTCGAAAACGTACCCAGCCAGACAACCAGGAAACTGTAGACCGTTCCAGCAGGACCTCCACTGTTGGCATTGTTAGATGGGCTATCTCTTCATGTAGAGTCGATACATACTCCTCAAATGGTACGGTAAACGTCCTAAACATCCGTTAATAGAGACACGACGCACCATATTTCCGTCAATTGGGAAATACGCACGACAAAATACCCTCCCAGGATGCCAGAACCGTACAACTGAAACCCAAGATGGACAAGAAACCAAACCGACGCTGTAAGCACTGGTAAGCCACTGTGGAAACACAAATCTATGGTTATCACGTACCTTCAAGATCTGTTTCTTGCCCACGCGGCCCAGTCCCTGCTCATCACTGACTTGAGACTGGCTGCTATTGGCGGCCTTGGAATCCAAATTTCGGTCGCGCAACTCAATCGGCGGCCCCATTGTGGCGTTGACTTATTTGTGCAGATGCCCGAAGTCAACCCTCTCGACTGCAGGAGGTAAAAGCAAGAGCAGAATGTGTAGGAAACCGAAAGCAAAGCTTGTTCCTTCGGTTAACCCCTCCCGTCTTCTGATCCCTGTCTTATCCGGTGTAAAATTGGCTTGGCTGCATATGCAGGATGAAGAAAAAGAAAAAAGGGGAGCGGAGACAAAAGGCCCTCAACTGAATTTACAGGGGCTCGCTTGGATTTTTTCCATAACTGACACTTGTCAATGTGTCTAAACTCCATAGAAGGAAAACAATTTTACTAACCGGAGAAACTTGACGAGGGGCGGTAGAATGTCAAGCTGCAGAGCGCCACCCGATAGTTAGCATTGTTAGGACCACTGACATGGCCTAACAGGATCAAACACCGCGCAATCCTGCTGGATCCTTCGGCGGGTTGCATGTCTTTAGTGGCGGGTCCACCCTGTTCGGTGCCTTACTAGGGAGAGTTAAGCTTCCACTTCCGGGATGCTAGGCTTCGTGCCGTCGGATTACGGGCCAGCCTCCGGTCCGAAACTAGAGATTTTAGACAAGCAAACAGTAATTGAAGGTCCACAGTCCGGGAAAGTTGAGGCAACTTGAAAACCTTGAAAAGTGCCAGGTGCTCTCAGGGAACGGCTGGAGATCGCCCAACCCGCTGCTTCTTTCCGGGATAATTTGAATCTGAATGTGGAATAATTCGTCCAGTCGTAATGCATGTAAATAGTACCGTGTAAGACGATCTCTAATGGCTAATTGATTCGTGTAGTCCATGGCTACCATTGGACTCACTGTCCATCGGTTGGTTTGTCGCAGCATCCGGGCTATACTGCTCTTCTACGACCCAGGTTCTAGTCTCTCGAATGATATGATCCTGGCTGGAGTGGCTCATAGTATCGTCCCAATCCTGCTGATCCCTCCCTGCCGAGACAGCGGTGCTGTTGGCTACTCCAACGTGCCCGCTAAGCTCGTGTGCAGCAGCCTTTGCTTTGCTTACGCGAGCGTACTCTCCGCGTTCAGATGTCTCGCCTGGGAGGTAGTATAAGCGGAGCCCAGTGGACTGTAATCCGTCCATGAACGGCTTCAGGTGCGGAGCGCAGGCCATGACAATGGACAGGCACTGCACTAGCTCGACGCAGACGGCAGCCTTCCAAATGGCCAGCAGGGGGTCTGAGGCGTGATTGTTTTGATGGCGATATACAAGCTCAAGGATGATCGCAACGATGACCCTGTCATTATATAAGCATCAGTTACTGTCCACGAACGTCGAACGGGTTGTCACCAGCTAGCATACAAGAAGCGAGTGAGAAAGCAGGCGATGGCAACTATCTTCCTAGGAACCGCCATTTGAATCCGGAGTATGAGCATACTAGGTACTAGAATCAGGGCAACTTCACTTAGAATGTTGAACGCCCCGAAAACCATCCACCAGGCATCCTGACCATGAAATTAGTCTGTATCCTTCGAATTCGGTAAGTGTATGGTATCTCACTCGATTAAAACACCTCGTCTGATCCCATCTCCATGGCTGCGGAAGATCGCATTGGAAAGCTACGGCGAATTCCGCCGCCACGGCCCAGGCGCTGATCAATGCAATGAGTACCCATTCAGCCTTGCGGGTGCGCTGCATAAGAAAGGTCATGAATGCCAGGGCGCTTAGCTTGGAGAAAGTCAAGCTTGCAACGTATAGCATTTCTGCGGCATAAACAGACTGACTACGTCAGCGACAAATTAATCCGGAGAATTGGATGGTGTACCTTCAGAGCTATATCAATTCGCTCTTGAGAGGAAGCACTTTCTGCTTCCCCATAGCCATTGCGCGCGGCTATGGTAATGCATATTGTCTGTAGCACACTGAAGGCCTGCGTTGGAGTTAGGGCTTGACACGCCAACGAAAGTTTTGAGACTCACCATTGACACAGAGATCAGGTGATCATCTACCGTAAATTTTCTAGTGATGGCATATTTGATCCCCAGCCGTGCAGCCCCAGATAACGTCGAAATTACGGCGAAAAGCAAGGCTAGGATCCCTATGATAGGGGACCGATTGGCGTCAGTGACCGCAACCATGACTGCCACATCTGTTGCTGGCCTGCATCCCTCGAGTCTGGGACCAGAAAGAGCAGCCAGGCTGATAAAAGGGAACAACGCATCGTAGTTGCAAGGCGACCTGAAGGATTTGTTCGATCTTTTTTTATTTGAATTTTGTTGGATTATTAGCAATCTCAGCCCGGCGATTCTAACCCCGACGAAGGATCGGGGTGGAGGCGTCTAAATCCGCTAGGGCCGCAGTAGTCAGCCCACCAACCGGCGCCGTCTCATGGCCTGCATCACGCAGTATTTTCTCCCTTGCGTGCCGCACTTTTATATAGGGGCCAAATTGCTAGGGAGTGAGGCACACAATTCAGGAGAGACCCCTGAAATCGGAGGCTTAATCAAGCCGCCGACCCATCCCACATATGCTTCGAAGACTGTGTGCTGACTGATAGACATTCAAAGACCCCGGACTTTGTCCGGGGCTTTGTCTAATTGACGCAAGTTCATTATGACAGTGATATAGTGTTGGTGGGGTTGTCTCACAAGCTGGAGGGGCCGGGCCATAGGCTAACCTCGGGGAATCTCTTGGGTGTGGTGGTGTCAAACTCAAGAGAGGCTGTTTTGTCTGAACCTTCACCCCCTCCTTTTTCTTTGCACGTTATCACAACTCCATACTATTACTGCCTTGACAAACATTCTGTGTCGATCTTTCCAGTATGGTGGCAAGTACTGTTCAGGAGGGAACAGCTTCGTTCCATTATGCTAGTCTTCCCCAGCCTGCCCAAACGTGGTACCGGATCTATGGCGACATCAAGGCAGGCACACCATTAGTAGTCCTGCATGGCGGGCCGGGCTTTTGCCACAACTACATGCTGCCCCTGGCTGCACTGGCTTCCGATCGTGCCGTGATTCTATACGATCAGATCGGAAATGGATTGTCCTCCCACTATCTGGAGAAACGCGGCGATCAGGAGTTCTGGACGGTCGACCTATTCATCGCGGAGCTGGAAAACCTGCTTCAGCACCTTGGTATTGCAGGTCATTTTGATCTGCTGGGTCATTCCTGGGGCGGAATGATGGGGATGGATTTCGCCGCTCGTCAGCCGGCCGGACTGCGCCGGCTGATCCTATCGAACTCCCCGGCCTCGGTTGCACTGTGGCTTGAATCAGTCAACCGACTCCGCGCTACGCTGCCCCAAGAGATTCAAGACACGCTGCAGAAGTGCGAAGCAGAAGGGCGGCTTGATTCGAAGGAATATGAAGATGCAACGGTGGAGTTCTTATCCCGATTCTGTTGCCGGACACAGCCATGGCCCGAGGAGCTTATGCAAAGTCTCGTCTGGACCACGGAGAAGGATTCTACCGTCGCTGCCAGCATGTATGTTGCACCTTTGCCCGAGTTCTTTCTCCGTCCACTTTTTTACTCCGTGATTTCCATGATGCCACATGCTAACGGCAGCAGGCTCGGTCCCTCCGAATTCTGGGTCGAAGGGTCTCTTAAAAATTGGAGCGCATTGGACCGCATTCACCGGATCCAGGTTCCCACACTGGTGATCAATAGTAAATATGATGAAGCGCAGGACAGCGCCGTGGAACCGCTCTTCTGGGGTATTGATAAGGTGAAGTGGATCACCTTGTCGGAAGGTTCGCACTGCCCGCAGTTCGACGACCGCGAGAAGTACCTGCAGGTTGTTGACGAATTCTTGGGCCGCGCATAGTGCTGGGGGTGTTTCTTCGAGGGGGTCACTTATCGGTTTTAGTTTGAGCTCTAGGGGCCTGAAGACAGTCCGTGCCGTTAGTTTCAGATGGTTGCAGGAAACCAACCGACTAGTATGAGATGGTTGATGTGCTAATGTGAACCGATTTATGACCATTGTTCAATTTGGCGTTAGCCTGCATGACCGGCTGTTTATGTGAGCGAATGTTCGTAGACAGGCATGGAACGCTTTCCAATCGAAGAATGAGTGTATGGCTGACAAGGTAAAGAGAAGATGTTGGTGGGGGAAGGATCTCTAGTCCGCACTACAATGTTGGCCTTGCTGCCTCGGGAGTACTTTCTGTACAGGGAAGGACAGCGCTGCTGATCACGTTGCGTTGTAGTAGTTGTATATTGACGAAAACATAGAGGAGCCTCTGGCCTGCCTTGTAAACAGACTTATATACTCTTCTAACTTGCATTGTACAGCTAAGCGACTGTATTGGGTTAAGTCGCCAAAAATGCAAAAAGTTATGACAAGAGTGGGATTCGAACCCACGCCCCTTTCGAGACTAGGAATGTTCTGAAGAACATGAGATGATCAGGTGACCTGACCCTAGCGCCTTAGACCGCTCGGCCATCTTGCCGGTTGATGAAAATTAGTCACCAGTAAGTGTAATATGAGCTAGCTGTCATATTTGAGAGAAGAGCCGCTACGCAGTTGTCAATGAAGGTTGATATGCATTATTAACCTAGGTTATTGCGTGTAGCAGCACCTATATATGTTCTGCTTTGATTTATTTTATGTGCGTTCACCTTGTTGGTGCTGGTGTTGGGATCAAGTGGCTGATTGACCTTTGGCTTGGTATATATACCCATAGGAACCTACAGTACTACTGAAGGCAATAGTCCATCGATTCTACGCTCCATCATCATCGCCCCCACTTCAGTTGATCCCTTAAAAGAAATGGTAGCCTGACCAATGCTACACAAAAAGCACGCTCAAAGTACACAAAAGGTGAAATCCACAGGATGTACATTGCACCAGCATACAAGCAAAGCTACGCCGTCCCTGAAGGCTCCGCCAACAATGTAAAGCAAACCCACTCACCAACAGGACAGATGCCATCAGAAATAATTTCAGCAAACACCTGCATCAAAAGAGATAGTACTACTAGTGTATACAAACGCTACAAAGGCACTGCCAGGGAGACAGAGCTACGGTAGCTCAGCAATAGATTCCCCGTGCCATGTTTACTTCCCAGCCGACGCACCGTAACAACAACACCGGAAGGTCCTACATAGAACAAAACGATCGTCGGAATTAGAAATCTACTAGAAGGGAGCATAAGAACGGCATAAAAAGAAAGGAAAATAAAAAATCGTGTACAAAGTATTGCCTGGAAAAAAGCAAGCAATAGACTAGTAGACCAGTTCGCATATTATCCCACTGCATGGGTCTGTGGACCTCCCTCACTGCACAGCAGAGTTGCTCGGTCTCATCCTGGTTGTGAATGTTATGATGTAATCTTGGATTATGTATTGTAAAGTTGCTGCCCCTTTCAACAGTTGGGCAAGATGGCCGAGCGGTCTAAGGCGCTAGGGTCAGGTCACCTGATCATCTCATGTTCTTCAGAACATTCCTAGTCTCGAAAGGGGCGTGGGTTCGAATCCCACTCTTGTCATAACTTTTTCTTCCCTCTACATCCATACAACTCGTTCCTCTCCCTCACTCCTTTTTATCTTTCTTTTGTCCTTTTCCCTCCTTTCTCCTGTCACTTCCAATTCGACAGCAATACTACATGACCCCTATGTCCATTAGCCTAATATCCAACCATCGGGCTGTTTATGTCCTTACCAACGGTGCTCTTTCTCTCGCATCGCCGGTTCGCACCGGCATTGGACAATGATGGACGGGTATCTTCTTTTAACTCACACGCCAGCGGAACATGACAGCTTGTAGGCGTGTGCAGTCATGTAAGTGGTCTTTGGTGGCATTCGTTACGCACCCTCTCATTTCGGAACGAATATTTACGGGGGCCACTGCAAAGGATGTTGCCGAGACCTTCAAAGACCAACAATTCATATCTCACTAGATCAATAGATTACGAGCGCGCTGACAGAGGTTTGCGGGGAACAGAGTATCATTTTATGATCGCAGCCCCAACTAGCTAAGCACAAAACGCCGGAACCCAAAGGTAACGGAGATACAAATATGCTCGTTTAGTGAGCCCTAGAAACGCAAGAAGAGACAAAGTAGCGTGAGAAGAAGAGAAAGAAGATAAAAAAAAAGAAAATACAATGATGCCCACCCACCCAACCCCTGAAGAGGCGAGGAGAATGCAAGACGAAAACGGCAGAGTATAGGAAATACAAAGATGCCCACCCGCCCAGCCCTAAAAGGAGAGAGGAGAATGCAAGAAAAACGTAGGAAGATACAAAGATGCCCGCCCACCCAACCCTATAAGAAATGAACAGAACGCCTGCAAAATGCAAGAGAAAACAATAGAAAAAACAAAGATGCCCACCCACCCAACCCGGAAAAAGAGAACAGAACGCCCACAACGCAGCTCTAAATACAGCAGACACTCGACATAGGCAAGGAAAAAACGCCAGCAAAACATAAGAACAAAATCAAAGATGCCCACCCACCCGACCCGGAAGTAGGAAAACAAAACGCCCACAACGCAGCTCTAGATACAGTAGAGTCTCGACACACGCAAAGAACCGAACGCCAAGCAACGCAGCTCTACTTACAATAGAGACTCAACACATGCAACGAAAAGGCAAGAAGCAAGCAAGCACTATATACAACAGAATCTCGACACATGCAAGGAAATAAACGCCTGCAAGAAAAGCAGCTCTATGTACAAGAGGTATCTCAACACATGCAAAGAAATGAACGCCAGATAGCAATGTAACTCTATATACAAAAGAGTCTCGAAACATGCAAAGAAATGAATGCCAAGCAATGCAGCTCTAGTTACAACAGAGGCTCCATACATGCAAGGAGAATGAACGCCAGAAAGTAATGCAGCTTTAGTTACAGCAGAGACTCAATACATGCAAAGAACAAATAATAAGCCAAGCAGCTCTATGTACAAGAGATATCTTAACACAGGCGAATGAAAGGAAAAGTAACGCAGCTTTATATATAATAGTGTCTCAGCACATGCAAAGAAAGAAAAGCAAGAAGCAAGCACTATATACAACAGAATCTCGACACATGCAAGGAAATAATCGCCAAGAAGCAAAGCAGCTTTATGTACAATAGAGTCTCGACACATGCAAAGAGAAGCAAGGAGCAAGCAAGCTGACGAGCAGGCAAGTCAGCAAGCATGCATTATATACAACAGATCCTCAACACATGCAAGAAAAATGAACGCCAAATGCCAATAGCCGAAAAAAAGTAAAACGAACGCCCAATGCCAATCGCCAAAGACAAAGGAAAGACAAAGGAAACCCCCCAACCACCGCCCCCCGGATCCTCCGACGAACAACCTCCGCGAACCGTTTCCGACCCAAATTCCATCGATCGCCTCTGTCGCGTCCCCGGAATACCGTGGCCCTACCGACACCCCTTGCCCGCTGTCTAGCTGCTGACATACTGACCGTGTATGTCGTCGCTCGGGCATCCTTTGAACCGCCGGCCAGATCGATACCCGGTAAGCGTGGATGACAAGTTCACCAAGCTTTGCTGCCCACACAAAGCCCAGATCCGCCGCCAACCTTGAACGCTATCAGGTCGATTGCCTCTGTCATTCTCGGAGATGCCTCTGCTCAGACACCCGGGGTACCGGAAACTAGTGTCGCAGCGGGGTCGGAAATGCCGGCGGCTCGTAAGCACCCGAGGGTTAGCCGGTACGAATCGATGTTGGTGAATCTGTCGCCGGCTCGATCATTCGTGGATGGCGTTCAATGTCGTCTCTCGCTCCGACCTGTGACCTGGCCATTAGCAGTAAAGGGCCCCGACCTGGCTCCAGCACAGCCAAGTCGGGGGCAATGGATAAATATACAAAAATAAAATATACAGGAAAACGAAAGTGTTCAAGGAAAAGCCTGCAACAAGGAGAAAAGAAAGGGGAAAAAGACTAGTTACCAACAGCAACGGTGGATATCGCGCGCTTTGATAATCCACCGACTAACGGTAATGACTGTGGTGACCTCGCTAAACTGGACACTCTTCACCGACTTACCCTTGCGAGCCGCGGACTTCGCAGCCGAAGCTGCTCCATCCTCGGTGGACGCAAGGGCTGCATCGGATCGAGCCCTGGCCTCGCGGGATCGGTGATACGCCTCCCGCAACGCCTGAAGGCGAGACGGACGACTAGCACCAGAAGGAGTGGACGTGGTCCGAGGAGCCACAGGAGAAGGAATGGACGTGGTCCGAAGATCCACGGGGGAACGAGTGGATGGGTGCTTTTCGTCGAACTTTTTCAGGAACGACACACCCGCGGAAAGGGGACGGGGAGAGGGAATGGACGTGGCCTGAGCCACAGAAGGAGAGGACGTGGTCCGAGGAGCCACAGGGGAACGAGAGGAAGGGGTGGGGATAGATGAACGAGTGGACGTGGCCTTGGGAGCCACAGAAGAACGAGAGGCAGGGGCGGGGATGGAAGAACGAGTGTGGGTTGGGTGTTTCTCGTCGAACCTTTTCAGGAACGACGCACCCGCGGAAAGGGAAGAGGAAGAGGGAGAGGACGTGGTCCGAGGAGCCACAGGAGAACGAAAGGAAGGGAGGGGAATAGAAGAACGAGAGGACGTGGTCCGAGGAGCCACAGAAGGAGAAGAACGAGGGGAAGTGGCGCTATGGCCGTTGGCACTAGTCTTTTGGGGGGCGGAAGGAGAGGACGTGGTCCGAGGAGCCACAGGGGAACGAGCGACAGGGACGGGGATAGAACGAGTGGAAGTTGGGTGTTTCTTGTCGAACCTTTTCAGGAACGACGCACCCGCGGAAAGGGGACGGGGAGAGGGAGTGGACGTGGCCTTAGCCACAGGGGAACGAGGGGCAGGGGTGGGAATGGAGGAACGAGAGACGGGGGTGGGAATGGAAGAATGAGAGGACGTGGTCCGAGGAGCCACAGGGGAGGGAGTGGACAAGTGCTTGCTTGTACGCAAGTACTTGGAGGCAGTGGGGGCAGGCACCCCAGAACGAGAGGACGTGCTCACCATGGTGGGCACAGACGGAGCGGAACGAACAGAAGGACGTGCTGGATCCTTCTGACCGCTGGGGGGGAGAGAGGAGGAAGAGGAGGGGGAGGACTGAGGAACACGCAGACGGGCCATCTGGTGTCCTCGACGAACAGAGAAAGACGAATCCATGGTATTGGGGGAGGGGAGGAAGAAGCGAAACAGGTGAAACAAGGGAACAATGAGATGATCAGGAGAAATGTCAGTAAGAACGAGCAATCAAAGCTGGTCCAGAAGTGGTGTGAGGAGGGGAAAAAGAAGAAGAGAGGATATCAAGGGGACGAGAAGAAGATATAGAAGGCTGAGAAGATTGAACAGGAAAGAGCATTGTAGGGAAGGAAGCAGGAACATCATGAAGCTGAAGGAGGAGTGTCTGTAGCTCTTTCCTCAAATACCTTGAGATGTGGTGACGGAGCCGTTAGGTTGGTGGTGGAATAATCAAATTGTCTAGTAAACCCGGTATTTATTCATTATACGACCTTTCATATAATTTAGATGTCTCCAAGTGCATCATTTCTCCAAGGGAAATCCATATCCAACCAAGAAAGCAGGCTCGTCAATGTTGTGGTGCTGGTAGCTACAGACACCATTAGCGATCCATTCATATAAAACAGGAAAGAACATACCTAAGAACTCCCACAGCACCAGGTTCCAGCATCATGGACAACGGAAACTCCATCGGATAGCCCAACCAGCGCTTGGTAAACGCCCGGAGCGTATGGCCATGCGCAATGAGGACAACATCGGAGGGCGCCTCTCCGTGCATGTTTCCCCGATGAAGAGCTCTGATCTCTTCGATCAGGCTATTAATTCGGGCCGTAACATCCGCAGGTGATCTAAGCTGTTAGCCTCTCCAACAGAAAAGAACCGGATCTAACATGGTTATAGGAATGACTTACTCTCCCTCCTCACATCCATCCCTCCAGATATCCCACGCCCTATCACCATCGAGGCCATGCTCCTTCCTCAGCGCGCGAATCTCCTTGGTCAACATCCCCTCATACAAGCCATAACCCCACTCTGCCAGCCTTTCCGTCTCCTCCACCTTGCCAGCTTCCTTCAGACCCTGCTTCTCGGTCTCTCCGAAGGCCAAGTCAAAGGTGTGCTTTGCCCTTTGGCGCGGAGACACATACACACGAGCCAGTTTAGCTGTGTCAATAAGCTTACCAGCTCCTACGAGGATCTTGCCGGAAGCGGTCACTTGCTTCACTCCGTCGTCGGTTAGCTGGATTTCGCTGATGCCGGTGTAGCGGCCGCTTTTGGACCATTCGGTCTCTCCTGTGGGATTCTTAGTGGGGTTTCATGATATTGTTGGATAGTGGGGATAGAGGTACCATGGCGGTAGAGGAAAACACGGGGCGTTCCGGCGTCTTTGTCGGGCATGGTGTTGGTGATGACGTAGCTGTAAGACTGGGATTGATCTAAGGGGAGATGGACTATGACCAGGGTAGTAGTAGTGGTAGTATCTGGTCTGGGGGAATGGCCAGATTGAGCGAGGGGAACGCGGGGAGAAAGAGAATTTTATTTAGGTAATGTTCTTGATGTGGGTTCGCGGTTCACCGGAGCTAAGATTGGGTTTGGGGTCAGATTTCCCTTCATAGGGTTTACTGCACGATCACGCGGGATGTTCAGCCATTGCACATGAATGGAATACCGGTGAAGGCTCGGTCTTCAGACAGTCTGTTGCTTTGTCTATGAGAGTTTCCCGAGCTTCTTAGCTATTCGAATGCCATTTAATTCTAGTAATTTATTCTCCAAGGAAAGTGGGGTGGCGGGGGCAAAAACCATATTGATAACATTCAGACATTCGCGATAAGAGCCTTATCGTTTGTTGATCTCATATCGGCATTCGGCAGATGCGGGCTGGAAGGCACGTGCTCAGAGGAGCCGCTGTTACTGGCCTGAGGCTTTAAGGCAGCAGATATTGATGCCTGATGCTTTTATACTACTCATGCCAATCCCACAAGAAATCAAATACACAGCACCTATTGCTTCTTATTCTGATGCTTGTCTTTGGGTTGGCTATGCTAGTATACTTAGTGTCCATACGATACACTATGAACTATTCTTACTCATCAAAATCCAATTGGTACGTATCTTCTCATTCGAAGGCGACACTGCTAGCTGTGGACTATGGCATACCGACAATCAGTGCCAGTCAGTTATCAAGCAGCCGTCCGATGTAGCAGACCGTACACTGAAGTGCCATGACCTTACAAAAGTAGCCTATGACCACCAGCATAGAACTCGTTATAGAGGCTCACACATACAGTCAGCACTATGACCCTGTGGCTGTGCATGGCACATGCACTGCGCCCCGAATCCTTCCTTCCCACTGACCCAGTTAGTTACACATAAGGCTGTCCCAGGCAGCACCGTTCCCCAGAATTGTAGATAATACTCCCATAACGCCTCATTAAGTTGATCAATAATCCAGAGAAAAAGAGAAGAAACAAAGCCTCTTACTTTACCAGAAAACACAAATCACCTCAATATGGGCCTTCCACCACCAACCGAACCAACTCCTCCATATGAAGAAACGGAATCGACTAGCCGCCACAATCACACCGTAAACTTCCCTAATGCCTTTTTACTGATACTCAGTGATGAAGTACAGTATACTAACAAGTCACAAACACACAGTACTCCACTCTCACTCAAGCCATCGATGACCCCGAAATCCAACTCCCATCATTCCACGAACATGATCATGGCGACGGGCCTACCACGTCCTTGATTCCACGCGCTACCCCTCAAGAGCACTCACACTGCGAAGTGTGCGAGCGGATCATAAATCGGCGAGAGAGACGACAAGCCCATACAGACTGCTGTCGGATAGTAGCCATGGTATTTGTGGTCATGTTTGTGTGTATGATGATACTGGGGATAGTTATAGCCAAGGCGGCATCGAGACGGAAATGATGGGCACTTTGTCTTCATTTCAGAGGAGTATATAAGCATATATACTGGAGGAATGACCCTTGGGTTGTTGTTGTACAAACAGGACGGAGTGATATCTAGTAGAGAGGAGCTTCGCTGGTTTGTGAACTTCCATTTTCTACGCTGCCTGTGTCCGTGTTGGTAGAGAGTAGATGTAAGAGGTATCCATCAATGCTGAAGTAGTTCTCATCCATTTGCTATTAGAACTATAGTAGTTGGAAATGTGTCTAGGAAAACCGTGAAGAATGAAGCAGAGTTTTGTCTTCATACTAGAAGAGTCGCTCCGATCTGCGTTGTTTGCTGCACGCCATCGCTATCCTCCTACCTCTGCCCACACCAATATCAGAATGCTCCCCAGATTGCTGGACAGGTAACCTATACCCATGCATCCTATCCTTCATTTATGTAAAGGTTTTAGTAATCTTCTGTTACTAAGTGATCGAGACTACCATCAGCGGCGAGTTCCTTCCTCCGTCGCCCACGTGGCTCGAACAGGAAACTATTTTACTCAATATACTCGTACCCAGGTCTATTATCGACTGCAGGGCGTTTCAGGGATTAGCTTATACCAGATGGGAGGGAGACGTTATTCGCTTTCGTCTGAGGGCTACCCGCCGGTTAGACAGTGGCATGCTTCTGACATGTCTTGCTATCCTCGACTGCCCCTGAACAATCTTGAATATCAGCTTCGCTAATTATTTAGTGATTCTAGAGCTCCCTACCAGTTTCCACAAATATTTTCGAACCCCCGTCTATCTTTATCACCTACTCATCAGCTTCAGCGTCCAACGCAAACACCGGGCTATTCCTCGTCGTATTTCTCGCGGTCAGCACATTTGTGACTATGGTTCGACAATACCCCCAAACGCAACTGCTGCGCTACGCAAGACGATATAAAGGCAATCTAGTGAGCGCTCAAATTGGAATATTTACTCTGATGAAGGTGTTGCCTGAAGTATCACCAGCGAGGTTTGCGTGGTGCTTGGCTTTAAGAGAATTTCAATTGAATACCAATCGCTTATTGCAGCCTCCGTTCAAGAAGTGGGGAAAAGCCTGACACCAATGGCATGTAGTCGACTTCGCAACGGTCGATATTCAAGGGAAATGGGCCAGTTACCTCCAAAGTTCGTTGACGCATCTCCTGGGCCCCCTGGGCCGGCAGAGGAACAACTCAATGTGCACTACAAACGCAGTCGGCCCTGCGATATGGCCAGAGGACTTGGGAATGTTATGGCTACACTCCGTGGACGCACTTACCACGGACTGAAGAATATCAGAATTGACCCTGCCACACGACCGGACATACCGGTAGCTGACTTCTTCGTTAATGCGCCCAAGAACGCCCGAATGGAGTACAAGGTGCCCATTGTTATTGGCTGATCGCAGATCCCCTACTTGATGGTACCGTGGTCATACATGCCGGACCAACCAGGCTTTCAACTCGATATAATCTTATATTCGGAGAATGCATCAATGTAGTCGCGTATCAGCAATGGACCTGTAGTCTTGCGAGCCTTGCCCGAAGTGCCGAAACCAAGGACTTGGACCAAAGCTATGCGCAAATCATCGGGTCCGAATTACCTTCTTCTAACGCCGAAGGAACCTGATTACCTACTCCTAGTCAACTCTTTCTTCGATCATTTCGAGACCGAAGACCTTCCTCCCTTGGTCGCAGCAGTCGGACCAAAATAAGTAGATGAGTATCCTCCATTGGACCTCCACTAGAAGTTCCCTGACCGCCACCAAAAAACCATTTCTATCGCCTCAGGGACGCATACTATCCTTCATCACGCAGTTTCTCGGGAGGTTATTCAAGGTCTCGTCCACATCACGGAAGAAGGCGTTGTCGACGGCCTAATTTGGTCAGTGGGTGAGAGCGGACGGAACGACGCACCAAAACATGTCACTATCCAAGAACAAACAATCAGCCTTGAGGAACTTTTTGACGGAGAACATGCCGACTGGATATTACCTTCCTTTGCACCGCAACGGTCGATCCTGGACCCATCTTTATATCCGCACAATCTCACCCACGGAGGTGGGATTAGCACCAACAAAGGCCTCTGTCAAGGCAAACCGATGCTAGAAATCCCGTTCTACTTCGACCACATCGGCAATGCGGCAGATTTGGCCGGCAGTGGAACGTCGGAGGTACTCCACATGTTCCATTTCACGACTGATAAACTCTTGTCCTAGGCGAATGGATTATAGAGGATCGTGACGATGCGCGCAATGTGCATTGTCTCCAGCGTATCACCCGTGTGGATCCAGACGCAGGGTTTTGGGCGCTGATCTGATTGGAAAAGTTCTTTATGATACTGAAGCGAGGGTTGTTGATGGAAGGGAGATCCGTCCAATACATCTGCAAACATCGATTATGCCGATGCTGGCTTGCAAGGAACTGTGACTTGATGGCCGTTTCACAGTGGTGATGGGTTTTTTGGTGGGGGCTTTTACTATGCTCGGGGGTTCGCTTGTAATCACTCGCAGGGCTATTGGTGGATTACTCAATTGCATAGTTTGTTTGTTAGCTTTCTTCATCACAATACTGCAACATCCAAGAAAAATAAAAAAAAAAAAATAGAAAAAGAATATCTAGTGAATGTCCGCAAACTGAGTATTTCGCTCCTTTAGGAGATGTTACGTGACGGATTAGCATGAACGCGACTTCCTGGCAAATCAGCTCCTTCCATGGCTACTAGTAGGACGCCCGTGACACAATTTCCATTTGTCTGTAGTCGGAGCTCCACAAAGGTTGCACAACTTTGCTATCAGCAAGGATTGTGACATCAAGTACGGTATAAGCTTTAACATCCTCATGATGAGGGGCGGTGTGAGTTCTCAATGTGCAGTTATGCTTGATGTTTAGCTAAGACGTTCATGTCAGTTATCCTTCGACACCTCTTCCAAATCTCAACATACAACCATTTCTTAAGATCAAATAGATCGAATACTGTTGGGACACATATCTCTCCGTCGCCTGGCTGACCTGCGCGATGTCTCGTTTTCGGTCTAGCGGTTAGTGCTTCGACAAATACACATACGGTTCTCTCTACGTACGACATGTTTGCCCAATTATTTGATGAATTTTGGTATATTCTCGGATGACTCGAGATACCGGTGGCGCAGGTGAGTGAGTGAAGTGCTCTTACGTCTTCGCGCAGAAGAGACCATGTCGAGCATATACATTCAGCGCAGAGAAAACATACACAAGCTAATTACCCAGGACCTGACAGGTTCTATTTATACCAGCAAGACCTTCTGAATAAAAACTATATGTGTCACCTCATAATATCTCCGAATCATCTCAGAACCCGCAGATCCCCGGGAACCTCGTCCGCGATTATATCCAGCTCTGTCGGCTGAATATCATGCCCACTACTCCTCGTCACCGAATAACGAATAACGAGACAGGGATGAGAAGGAGGAATCAAATGACATGGTGAAATACTTCTGACCGCTGGGAGGAGGGGAAAAGGTTGGGGAAGAGTTGCAGACTCTCCTTAAACTTCATGATATTCCTCCTTCTTTCTCTACACTCCGCTCTTTTGTGCCATCTTCCTGCTCTCTCAAGTCCTCTTTTCGTTTCCTCCTCATACTACTTGTGGTTCATGCCATGTTGATGTTCTTACACTCACATTCATCGCTATTACCTTGCCTTGGTTCTTTACCTCTTTGCCTCCTTCTCGTGGAGGACACCAGATGGCCCGTCTGCTCTCCAGCCTTCCCTTCAAGAATTTCTCTCTTCTTCTTTTTCCCCTCCTCATACCACTACTGATTCAGAGTCCTTGCGGTTTCTGCTGTTCTCTTATTGTCCTGGTTTACCTGTTCCCCCCCTCCGATATGGATCCTTGTTCCTCTGCTTGTCGAGGACACCAGATGGCCCGTCTGCGTATACCTAAGCCCCCCTTTCTTTTTACTCCCTCATCAGTCAACACACGATCGCCCACAAACTGTGAGACCTTGGTCTCCCATCTTTAGTCACGTGACAAAAACCGCATCCAGAACCGGACATCTATTTCAAAGATGGAACCTGCCAACGAAGTTAGTAGAAACGAGCTGAAAGGGCTCCCGGAAAGGGTTGAGATAGTTTAAGAAGTTGACAACAGGAGCTGGAAGGGGTGAAGGAGACTTACCGGATGCATGATCGGCCACCGTGATAATAAAGTGGCCTGGTTCCGTTGCTGTAGATAGCTATTCTTTCTTCAGTTTTCTGAAAGTCGATTTACTGAATGTACAAACTTCTTCGACAGCTTATGTCAAAATTAATTTCCAATTTCTCACTTCAGGCCAACAGTATTCATGTAGACTAACCTATTAGTGGCTCACCTGATCAGATCCGTTGAAGAGATTTATGTCAAGACGAAGGGTCATAGATATATGGATTTGATCTATCTAGATCTCAAGGGGCTGAGTGATTGATTGGTTGAGTTGGTGGTCGGAGGCCACGCAGGAAGGAGACGCGAAGGATCAGCTGACATCTGCCTGGCTGCAGTGAATGCCTCAGCAATTTATCGTACCTGATTTATTATGAATTGCTGCAGACTGGACGCTTCACTCCAGGAATTCTCGAGCAGCGGATCAGCATGAATGCACTCTTCTGCTAGATTGGCTCTTTCTATAAATGTCTAGTTCATTGTGACGAAATTGCGCAAAGCCTGCAGTCGAAGCTCCATGTAAGTTGCTTGAGCTTGTCACGGGTAGCAACATGGTATCTTATAGTATCATAGTCACCACCGTTGGCTTATACTGACGTGCGTCATTGCCAGTTCCCACGGAAGAGCCACGTCTCACGTTTACTTCAATAATGGGTGACTCCTTACGACCAACAACCCCCTACACAGGAGCTTGAGATAGCGGTGGCGCAGGCGAATCTGTGACATGGAAAAAGCATGGGGTTGATCGTGAACTTTCCGTATTGTTTGCGTCAAAGACACTATACCGAGTATCTGCGCTCAGCCAAGACAACCCCTGTGGACCTGATAAGCTATATCTTTCTACCAGCAGGGCCTTCTCCTAAGTGGAAACAAAATGCGTACCACATCATTCACGAATCATCTTCAACACCCAACGAACCTCATCCGCAATCAACTCCGGCTCCGTCAATTGGATATTATGCCCACTCCGCTTCGTCACCGAATACCGCGCAACACTCGACAAATTCAACAACTCCCGATGAAACTGCTCTTCACACGTCTCCCACCTCGCCAGGCACTCCCTGAACTTCTCCCGCTGCGCATCCGTACCTCCCCCCTTGGCTACACCAGCCTCATACAACAGCTCATGATCCCTCTTTGAATCCCCTCCCAGCACACTCAACGGCTTTCCTCTCATAACATCCTTCCTAGGAACAAGTTGCTCCTTCTCTGCTAGTACACCCCGACTGACCTGCAGAAACGGCATCTCTAGTGCCGCCTGTTTCGCATGCTTTTCACTATTTTCCTCAGCCATCAAATCGTCCCATTCTTCATCAGTCAACACACGATCGCGCACCAGCCCAACAACATCCATGTAATCCAACCCATCGGTGACAGCAGCAATGCTCGGATCCGGCCACGTTTCCATCATCATACGCTCCTGCACTGGATCTACGAGCACCATGCCGCAGATATCGTCTGGTCGGGCGGCGAGGAATTCCCGCGCCAGGATTCCGCCCCAGGAGTGTCCGATGACGAGGTATGGCGGGGCTAGGGCTGCGGCGTCAAGGAGATGGCAGAGTTCGTGAATGACGGTAAGAGAGTCGGGTGGGTTTGGGGATGGTTCGCTGCGGCCGTATCCGGATCGCTCGTAGAGGAGGATGGATGCGTCGGTGGAGAGGTGACGGCATACGGCGCTCCATTCTAAAGCGCTGCTGGTAATTCCAGTTAGGATTATTACGAGCGGAGTGTTGGGTTGGCGGGGTGGGCCGCGGAGGGCGTAGCTGAGGGTGTGGGTGCCGATGCTGGCTGTGTGGTTGAAGTGGTCCATGGTGTGGTGGTATGCAAAGAGAGATAAAGATGAAGTTATGGGAGGGATGATGGGAGTCGATAGAGAAAGACGAGGGAATTGGTTCAGCATTGGAGTTAATTTATATTGTTAGTGCTTATTTAGTGAGTCATTCATCCAAGGGGCTAGTAATTGACTAGTCGAGTTGATGGCCCGATAGGCCCCTTTGAGCTTGTAGGATGATGCTTCAAAGATACTAGGGTTTCCGTATCGATATGTGGCCTGAGATTCATCGTCTCTCTAAAATGGGATGATTTAAAGACTGCCTATATCTATTACGTCTTGTGACAGAGGTATTGGCAGATACAATGTCTATCACGAGCCAGAGATAATAGGACAAGACCAACTCCACACGAGCTATAGAACCCTCTACATTGTGGACTCCTATATGCTACCCCGCTTCAGAGAGGGAGGTCATCAACAATTGTACGAGTAACGACTTGATTAATATAGCCATAAAAGATAGATAACAATGACAGAAGTCCAATTGGACACATCCAGATAGTGGGCCTAGATATAGAATATCTTCTCAAGAACACGAAACGAAGTTCATGCAAGTGGCTTGTGACCCACAGCCGTTATGATCCGGTTCTGATGAAAGACAACACCCTTCTCCGTCTCCTTAACCGCAGCAGAAAACATCTCAATCCAAGCCTCCCGGGACAGAGGCGCATTGGGAGCATCAGTCTTGGTTGGAAACAAAGGAGTCAGGTCTTCCAAAACCATGAGATACGCATCAGTCCAAGCCTTATAGTCGATCTTGCGCTTATCGTGTGTAAGAAGGCGTACATCCTGGAACCCGAATTCCCTCAGGGGGGTATCGAGCTCGTCTATCCAGGCGTAGCTGATGCCCTTGGCTTTAAGACCGCCCTTAAGCACCTGCATGACGCTTTCGCAGGCTGCAGTGGGGATCTTGGAGTTTGGTGCCTCGACAAGGAATATGTCGCCCCGATTTTCTTGCCACTGCAAGTAGCCACCGGGTTTCAGGAGTGACGAGGCCGCGGATAGTGTGGGAATGAGAAGATCGGTGCCTGAGACAGTGCTACCAAAAGAGCGGATGTGCACCACATCGTAGGTGCCGAGAAGGTGGGCAGGAAGGGGATTGGCGAGGATGTCTAGCTGCTGCAGCGAGACCGAAGGGGGCAGGTAGGCGGGTGCCGGGAAGTGGATGGGGTTGATGTCGAAGCCGTCAAGCTGGGCAGTGATATTCTTCTTCGATAACTCGCTGTGCAGCTGTGTAAGCCAGATGCCGTTGCCGCAGCCGAGGTCGGCGATTTTAAGAGGCTGCTGGGCGGCGGCCACGGCATTCTCGACGGCGGGCTCTAGGAGATAGCCAATGGTGTTCTGGTAGAGGAAGTGCTGAAGGTGCAAGCGGGCAGAGGATCGGAAGTTCCGGTCTGGAGAAGTCCAGAATGTGTACTGGTTGTAGTTTTCGATATGGGAAGTGACGGTCATTTTGGACAAGTGCAAGGAGGAGAGTTTGTTGGGATGAAAAGAAGACCGTGTTCAGTATGGCGCATGCTCATCCTTAAATAGTTCTTTGTTGATACCCTAACACACTTCCAGGCTCATGAGGAGACGCATCATTTTCTCGTTGCTGGTGAGTGTAAGAAGGGTGTACTAATCCTCAGTCGGCTAAGTGCTTATACGATGTAGCCTAAATCAAGCTGGTGTATGCTAGTATCTTTAATTCGTTGCACACCGCTCACTGACCCCTGCACCGGCCGTTTGAGGTCGACTTAGAAGCCGACATGACAGGCATCATAACTCAGTTACGCCCGAGAGCACAATTTCTGATATGGAGCTCATCCAGTTGGAGTTGTCCTTATACTCCCGGTTCCCGCCCCTCTTTTGACAGCCGACGATGCAGGCCAGCGTGTCAATAGTTCATAGGACACTCCGCGATAAAGAGGCCATCCCCACTCTAGATGAGGGGTCGGCGCGGCCTGCGGGTGAGAAAATACACTAAAGTGTGATTGGGCAATTGGGGATTTGATAAACATGGCACTGATGCTGTACATAAACATAGCTATGACTTGATACTACAATTCTGTTGTGAATTAGAGAACTGCAGTATAATTTGATGGCGCTATCTACTCAGATATACTATACAGAATTATTGAAGAAGCCTGGGTATCTAGCCCATGGCAACCTGAGATACTCTCGAGCCCCATTCCCCACATATGAGCGCATAAAATAAAGCGCAAGAGGCGACATAGCCAACAAAAAAAGAGTTTGGCAAAGGCTAACAGCATTTGACTGAGCACGGAGCGTATACACACAGCATAAAATACGAGAAGAGCTGCAGGTGACCAAGCCAGAGTCGGCGTATGAATCAATCACAAACAAAGGATCATAACTTGAGGGTGTGAGGAAAGAAAGGGGGGTGCGGGAGGGGTGGACGTACAATCGAGCGAAGAATGGATGGGTGAAGCCGCCAGACCCGGGTCTCGTTGGAGCTTATCAAGACACTCCACTGCACTCAGTGGTGCTCATCACACCATCCTAAGTCGACATCCAAAGCTGTGTATAGTACTAAACCCCGCTAGCTTACAGGAGACTTACGAAGGTGGGGTTGTTATTATACCATTGTTCTCAATAAAAGCAACCGACAAAGTCCGTGCGTGGTGTCAGCCCCTCCAGCAATGACCAGGTGCCTTACCATATTCTCCACCGCATTTCAGATCCACAGTTCGAAGGAACGGGGGCCCGAACCTTATAGGCTTTCAACCTTAAGTATATCGGGTTGAAGATATAATGACTGGAGTGTGCTGTTTGATATAGCAGCCGCTGGTAGTTATTTTCCGTTTGCCTGTCTTTATCATCTTTGGATATAGGATGGTATAACCCAGTGCGTAGTAATAACTAGTGTAGATGAACATCCACAATCGCTAGATGATTTAGTGGGAGAAAGCACCAGCAATAAGACGATAGATAAGTGAGGCGAGGTGAGGGGAACCCGGCATGCAGCACCTACATGATTGGATTGTCTGCCCGCCGGCCTGCACGAACCCCTGCTAGAGGGACGCTTAGACCTAATAGCCAAGAAACTGACACAAGTGGGGGGAGAGAAACGAAGAAATGCTTATGGGACATAAAGTTGGATTGTCGGATTGATGGATACCTTTTTCATTTCCTGACCGGGCCCGTTTGGTGGTAGACTCCGCCTCCCTAATCTCAGCGATGTGTGACAATTTCCCGAGTAGCATGCTTGTGACAATATCGCCTAAATTGTCACTAGGAGATTTATTCTGAAGCCAAGCACTACTACCTTCATTCATTGGATAGTCCAATATTTTACAGCTGCTGAGCCTTGGTATCATGGCAATAAGTTTGTTCAAGTGCTATAATGTTTCGACTTGAAACTGGTCGAATTCGCCTCAAAACTCTTCTTCGGGGCCTCCTGCTGTTGATATAGCTCTTTGTATAAAGAGGAGTGCTGATCTATCTGCGTAAATCATCATGCATTCTCCGTTACGGCCGCCCAGCACCATGTGGTACACCGCGTTGCAGCAAAAGTCGATTCTTGACTGGAAGCGTCCGTTCGATGTATGTCCTCTCAGTCGGGCTGGTGATAATGACTTTCAGAATAGCCAGACATGCATCGTTCTGACTGATCCGATACAACTTTTGGATCACAGAATAGAAGTCTTCATCCCAGAAATCTTTGTCCTGGGCGCTAACATCATCAATCACACAGATAATCTGGTTTTCAAGGGTGAGCTGCAGGAAACAGCTCCCGGAAGATCAGGCAAAGCGATTTTACGTCCAACCATCTGTTTATATGGCCGAAGGAGCGTTTACCGGGTGGAGTGGCAGTCGAAGGCCATTCGTACACATGTGTTGCGTCATAAGACTTCTCATAAGCTCCTTTGGACCACTAAGTTCATCTCTGGAGGACTCATGCTGGGTTCAGAGGAGATGCAACAGAAAGTGATTTTGGCCCTGGGATAGATGCAGTGCCATAGTAACATGGATCATGGATAGAGATGAACAACCACGAGATCGAAATTGCCGTTGGCTAGTAATGAGTCGGACCTAGGAAATGAAAGCCAGATGGTAAGGCTCTGGGCTTGTCGCGACTTTCTCAATTCTGAGGAGCGTTTACTTGCACATAGTGTGCCCCGAGGGCCATCTTCACTATTTTCTGCGTTGTAGCAAAGCTGTACTTGAATGGTCCGAAGAAAATCCGGTTAGGCTAGTGCGCATACTAGTGGTCTAAGTTATAATGATATGGGTTTTCAAAATCGTCCCTAGAAGACAGAGCAAGATATAGGAGTATCGGCAGGAATCGTAGTAATACAAACAGTAGAGAAAGGGCAAAAGGATTCAATCGCATCTGTTCAGCTTTGCAGATCTTACCCACATCAATGGAACCTCTAAATCTCGCATTCTCATCAGTTTATACTATCTCTTACTGTCCCTGGAATGGAGAAAGAGAAAATGGAAAATAAACTTAGATCGACTGGAGTTGATCGAAAAAGAACGGAGCGAGGTCACATAAAAACCAGCTCTGACGATCGCAAAAACCATTGTCGAAGAATTTGTCCAAAACTTATATCAGCGATAGAACAGTAGACAAAATTCGAACTACCTCTGATCTTGCGTCTTCACTGTCACATCATGGCAACTATATAAATAAGCTTTAGCCGGGCGATATAACACATGAGCCAGACATCAGAACCCATCACTTCGAGGTAGTGGGTCTGATCATCACATGCGTGGGATGAAAGGCAAGAATGACGATGAGATCGCCTCCATGGAAGGTAGTGGAGCCGACTTTGTCACCAAGTTTGTACCAGAGCGAAAGACTCGCTCGAACGTCGGCTATCATTGACAGTGTTTCCAATTTCTCATAACTAGTCAACGCAACGTTCTCTTTCCATTTGAAGAACGAAACCTCTTGTCGCTCATTGCCACCTTTTACTAGCTCTGAGATGCGGGGGTTTTCGGGCTGGAATAAGAGGGATTTGGTAGAGGATACGCAGCCCTTTATACTATCGTGGCTTTTGAGACAGAAATCAACACGATAGTCGCTAAGCAGCCCTTGTTTTACTGGATGGATTGCATGTTAGCAGAAATCCTAATGTCGCACCCCAGTAACATTTTCCAAATTTAAATAGAATGCCCCAGATGGACCACCCCCGGATCAGATAAGACAGGTCAGGTGGACAACTTGGGGTGGGTGGCGCCCACATGGCTTGAGGCTGCAACGAACATCCCTTGCGGCGCCAAGACTTCTAAAATCGGATTGGCAGTTCGAGATCGGAGGCTGCCAATCACGTCCGGATTCCGACGGAATATAATTTATCGCCCGTCGCACAGCGTCATAAGATTGGACTAGCCAAACACTATTGACTGAGCTTCCATGTGATTGATGCGGAAGCCAAAGCTACATTTACTGTAATAATGTTATCGTCTGAAATGAGATTTGGCATGAAAATTTGAAGTTCACAGGCGGTTATGAAGTGGCTACTGTGGAGGAGACAGACAGATCGCGCAACTACGTCAATTCGAACCCACCGATGCAAAAATTTCACAGTTTTCCGCAGGAAAACTCTTCGCGGAAGGGTTGAAAGCGGAATACGCGTGAGTTTCCCGCCAACCCATAATTGGCCCATGTTGGACCCAGATGGTATGATTCCCGCTCCCCACCCAATCAGCGGGCCTCAATGGTGACTGATGCAACGGCGGGGAGTAATCAGGTTTCGGACAGCAATACCCCGCGGTAAAGGACGGTGAAAACTCGATGTCAATGTCTGGGAGGTGCGAATTACAGTCACCACAAAAATTCAAGCTTTGATTCGATTATTCATGTGTTGCTGCTTCCCCTGTCTTGCGTCCAGTACAAGTTCGGAACGGCTCAGCTCACTATGGAGTCTTCAATTGGCAATTTAGAGGCCAACCTCCCCGGCAATGGGAGCAGTAAGTCCAACAAGGAGCCACTCCCCGCAAAGCTGAACGCCTGGGTCGATGGCAAGCTGCCCGACGCTGTGGACGATGGGGAACAGCAGATAATCGAGGCTGGAGAAGCCAAGTATCATCGCCTCGGCTGGAAGGGTCTAACAGTCATGCTCATTGTGGAGGCCATTGGCCTAGGATCGTTATCTATTCCTTCCGCATTTGCATCTCTCGGCATGGTGGCCGGCGTTATCTGCTGCGTCGGCATTGGCTTGATAGCCATTTACACCTCGTACGTGATTGGGCAGGTGAAGCTCGCCTTCCCGGCTGTTCGGGATTATGGTGATGCGGGTGCCTTGCTGATGGGTACCTGGGGTCGGGAAATATTCACCTTCATGTTGATCCTTCAGCTGATCTTCCTGACGGGTTCCAATTGCTTAACCGGCACCATTGCCCTTCGCCATATCACGTCTAGCGGCATCTGCTCCGTTGTCTGGAGTGTGGTGTCCGCGGTGATTCTTCTCTTGCTCTCCATCCCGTCCTCTTTTGCCGATATGGCCTGGCTCGGCTACGTGGATTTCGTTTCGATCGTGGCAGCCATTGGCATCACTATCATCGCTACTGGCATCCGGGGTACTGATTCTACCGGAGGCTTGGCAGCCGTGGACTGGTCGGCCACGCCGCAGGGCGATCCTACCTTCTCAGATGGGTTCATTGCGATTAGCAATATTGTCTTTGCGTACACCTTCGCTAGCTGTCTTTTTTCGTTCATGGACGAGATGCATACCCCTAGGGAATTCACCAAATCCATCTGGTCCCTTGGCATCCTTCAGATCGTCATCTACACTGTCACGGGCGCCACTATCTACGCCTTTGTGGGCACCGATGTCCAGTCTCCTGCCTTGCTTTCAGCTGGAACACTCGTCAGCAAGATCGCCTTTGGCATTGCCCTTCCGGTTATCTTCATTTCAGGCGCTATCTGCACCATCGTGGCTGGACGTTTGATTCACGGCCGGATCTATGCCAACAGTGTGACCAAGTACATCAACACGCCCAAGGGCTGGATTACATGGCTTACTGTGATCACTGTCTTGACCATCATCTCGTGGGTCATCGCAGAGGCTATTCCATTCTTTGATGATCTTCTCTCCATCACATCGGCATTGTTCACCTCTGGTTTCTCGTTCTACCTTCCCCCGATCATGTGGTATGTCCTCATCCGCAAGGGGCCATGGTACTCCAAGGAGAACCTGTTGACCAGTCTGGTGAATCTGTTTGTCTTTATCTTTGGTCTTATTGTTCTTGTTGGTGGTCTTTACTCGAGTATTCAGGATATAGTAAGTTATCTCCCCCTCACCTCTTAACTAACCTTTCACTAACCCTATCCAACAGCGACTTAATTACCGCGAAGGTGATGTCCACAGCCCTTTCACCTGTGGTGATGTTTCATAAAAGCTTTGTTTTCATCATTATATATTGCCCACACATGTTAATAGACCCTTGTACCGAGCCATTCGGCTTGATGATTCCCATGCCATCTGGAATGTCTAACTTGTCATATCTCACGAAGACATGATGACCGCCGCACTGGCTTTGCATCGTTGGAAAAGAAAATACTGTATATTAGCTGCCTGTACATATATTGAGCTCTGTTGAAGCGGGATGCAGAGGACAGGACAGCCTTTACTCTGAGATTCTTTGTGTTGACTTTTGTTACTTGTTATTTCAATCCGCCACATGTCAACAACGAATATCACTCAGGCAGTGATTCTTATCTGTTCTTGGTCCGCAACCTACTTACCATACTACCTTTCGGACTCTATTCATAATAACAACTGACTCACACTTCAATTCGACCCCGTTCCGGAATTGATAGACGACCACACTCGCAACCCGCCATGATCAGACGTTATCTCATCTACAGCGGAACTGTTGAGCTCACTGTGACCATCTATGATGACTCGCTATTACCTTGTTCTATGGAGCATCAAATTCAAAAAGGGACCTGATATCTGGGTTCACATTATCCTTTGGAATATATATTCCTAGATAGTTGTTTATTTTAATACTAATATATATTACGGCAGAGCTGCCACTAATTGATCTCTGAAATAATCCACAGCTCGAGCCTAATTACCATTCTTCCAATAGAGTATGCCAAAGGAAACTGGGGAAAGCGAAAAAGCATAGTGGGCTACCTTTTTTTATCCAAGTAAACTCGAATGGGGACGTGATGTAAATTGAAGATTCAGTTGAGTAAACTGTTGCGGAGCTAATTTCATATAATGTGAGGTTTTGTAAAGGAGGGAATGACTAGCACCTAGCTATCTCGAATACTGTTTGCCATTTGATGTAGAAAGTGCCAGAAAGTCAAGAAGAAAAAGGGAGTACTCGGCTCAAAGATACATGGTCGACCTATTTCGTACATTTTGATGCTATCTATCCTTAGGCCAATGAGCTCTAGTAGTTTATTCCCCCCAAATGCCTCTGCAATAGTTCGTTACCCTCTACTATACTATATAGATTATGAAGTAGGAGGTGCTATCAATTGTCTCTCTCCGAACTTTAACCGGAGCTCATGCAGGGCCGGCCTAGAACTCCGCTTCCCGAGCTCAATCCATGGTACGGAGCTCCCTAGCAAGTGCGCGTTTGTAGTTTCTTCAGAGACATGTGAAATGCCTCGCAACTCATTCCATGGGTACTATGACCAGAGCTATTGGGATTATCGATCGAAGACCTTTCTATAATGGGCGCATCAATAATTCATGTATACGTGAAAATTCCTTGTTCATGCCTCCATGTAAACCAGAAAACACCCATATTGATGCAGTGGATTGCCTACAGCCAATTTTAGAAGATTAGCATGTGTGAGTCGAATAGAATCTGTAGTCTTTAGGTGCTGTAGATGCAGCGTGTAGAAGCGTGTTTGAACACAGCCCGTACTCGAAAGGCACGTTCGGTTGAAGAAACCCGATCAATAAGCACCTCACAAGTGTGGGATGAGACTAGTAAGAGTTCTCTTTGAATGCACGCATTCCTAACGCTCCCTTAGGACTGAACAACCGAACAAGAGGTATGCCATTGCCATTATCTCCTAACAACTGTGGCAGACTCATGTACAGCCAAACCAAAGCGCCATTACGCCGAATCCTGCCAATTCTGCACCACAAGCCAAGTAATCTTCTCCGTATGCCTCACCTCCTTATCCATCTCCCTTGCTTTCTTCACCAGCTTCTTTCTCGCTTTCAGATCTGCAGTCTGCCCCGCCATCTCATACAACAGGATAGCTTCCCCGCGCCAGAGCTCATGTTGAACCTCGGATACAACCTGCCAATCCCGAACAACCTTCGCCGCATCCCTCCGCACCTTTCCCTTCTCCTGGTTCCATCCCCTCTTCGCCTCCGCCGCAAGGTCCAAGTCATAAACATAGTCGATAAGCTGACATAGCTGTCTCCCAGGTACACGAACCCTTGAGCGCACACCCTGCACAAGGTCCGTTTTTGATGGTACAGTCCACCTCGGACATAGCGACGCACAAAGCGGGAACTTTGGATGAAGGCCCAATATCTTCCTCAGCTCCTTCCCACTGACGATCGATACTTCGAGATGTTTAGGATGGAACAGCAGCCGGTTAGCTCTGTTAAGATAGGCCGTCCTCCGCGCAAACGGTCCCTTGATATATGCCATGTGGATAAGACGAGCTGTGAAGTCCGAACATTGTCCCAGAAGCGCAGTGATTTTAGTGGGGTCGATATGGTCAGCAAAGTGAATGGCTTGGCCGGCCTTTTGCATGTACTTCAAAGCTGTGTGTCCGGCCTGTATGATGTTCAGCTCGTCGATGAATTCGAGGAAGGCTTCTTCGGGGATTCCAAAATTGGTTAGAATGTCGGTGTAGGCGCGGATGAAGGGTAGATTGATTAGGAGTCGATCGGTGAGATTACATACGCGGGGTATGGCTATTAGGCGCTCTAAGGGTTGGTAGTTTGGTTGTTGGGAGTCGGTGGAGTTTGTTTCAGTGGTTGTGGTTTCGTGGAGATCGGCGGATTGAGTATCCATAGTGGGTGAGTAAGAGGGACTGTTTTTGGGCTTGGTTGAGGTGGGCGCTCATCATGGAGTGTAGAGGTGGAAGTTGTAAGGGTGAGGTTTTGTGGCTGTCATGCTGTGCTCGGTCTTTTATGGTTCTCTCAGTGAGTCCTTCCCCAACTACTAGGCAAACAAACTTGACCCCTCTGACATGTGGCAGACTGCGCCTAGATCCTCATATCTGGGTACGATCGTAAAACGCATGAAAACTATATGCACCGCCCGCGATGTTTATGGGCTGCCATAGAGCTATTGGTCGCTCAGGTCATGATACGAAAGAACAGTTTCAGAGGCTGGCCTGGTCAACTGACAGCTCAATGGAAGTCGGAGCCGATAACTGTGCAGTCTGTAGAATTAAGTTCTGTTTACCAAATTGATCGTTAACGGGGTTAACATGTTGCTTGGAACCAACGACAACCCCTCCCGGCGATTTGGATTCCAGGCCCGCCACATCCGAGAAATGGTCCCGAAGCGAGCAATTTTAAGCTAGGGAGGCAACCCCGCTAGGTTCCAAAGAACATTATTAGTTGGTATTTAAGGTGCTCACTCGTAACCAAAGAATGATTCACGAGGAAGTTTCAACCTAATCATATGACCTGTCATTTAGACCACGTCTCTCTTGCGCTTCATCCAGTTTTTCGAGTCAGAATCTCGTGCACCCTTCCTCTCTTGAGGTATATCGCAATTATGTCCCATCGTTAGAATCTAGCATAAAACAATAATAGGAGGATCCACGAAGCATTAACTCACCCAATACTGGCTAGGTATCTATTTTCAGCTCCTGAACCAGAACCTCCCATCCCCCTCCTCCTATATCCCCTACCAATGCACATACACCTAACAGCTAAGTCTCATAAGACATAAAGGTCCCACAATATGGAACCCATCTCATCTCCCAAACAACCCCATATGGTGCATACCTCGCATTCATCCCATCAACATAGGTTTGCAGCCGATCATTAAACCGATCCACCGCGGCACCGTAGAAACAAATCGACAGCCCACATGTAAAACACACAAGGAATATCTCCCTACTTTGGTCTTTGGAGAGTCTTTCTGCCATATGGCGGATGATGTACATGTCTTGATCCCACATAATCTCAGGCACACCGCGTCGTGCTAAGACTGATGGATATCCGGTGGGGAGTCCGTTGACTGTGGCGGGGAATTCGACCCTTTCGTGGTCGGCTTCCACGATGCTGATGTTGGCCATATAATTTTGGTGTTCCTTTGTGGTAGGTTAGTCTCGAGTACTAGTGCGTGGAAAGAAGACTTGCAGTCAAGGAGATCGGGAGAGGATGTGGTAAGCTTTTGCGGTCTGTGCGATGTCTGTCAGGTCGTGTTGAGGTTTAAAGGTAATAGTCCATGAGAAAGTGTTTTCTATAAATACACTATATACTATACTACCAAATCTAGAGACTATTTTCTTGGGAAAATAGATTCGATAATAATGGACAATCCACGAGATGGCCTGTTCTAGACTGTATTTTCGCCATATAGGCAGTAGCATTTGAGGAAATGAACGAATAGTACTCCGTATACTGCGTACCCGAGAAGAGATCCTTGGGTCAGATGTCCTCGGGATATGCCATTGGACTATGGTTCTACGCCCAAGCTCAAAGTAAGGAAACACAGTTACAGCAAGGATGAGAAACAGTATAGATATAAACGAGTCATTACAGGCACTGAATGTACAACATCTCTCTCATCAAGCCAACGCTTCTGATTGTACCCTCCTACATGCTCCATGCAACTAATATTCCGCTAAAGCCTCTCTCCAAACCAACATATCCTTCACTCAGTGTAGCAAGGCGTCCGACCTTGCGCCGTAATAACACTAATGCACTCATATTTACCCCCAGCATTGCACGCAGTACCGGCTGTGCCATCCGCATTGCTAACGCCGTCGGCCCGATGAGCTTTGGCGCAGATGCTGGTACAGTCTAACTCTCCGATGGTTGCATCCTGTAGGAAAGCTTATTAGCTTCTCGGAAATAGTATTTCTGTGTGGGGCAGTACTTACCGAGTATACGCAGCAGTGACTGCTGTCGCTGAACTCGCACTGGCAGTATGTACAGGCCTGCGCGGTGAGGGCGCTGATAAGAAAGAGCCCGAGGGTCATGAGGCGGACCATATTGAATAGTGAGTTCAAATAAGAGTTTTGAAAGGTCTGGAAGGTGTCTTGGTTGACTGAGTTGTATGGTTTAGTGGATAAGTCTGTTTGCAGTGCGACAGGAAAGGGCGCCCTTATATGTTCTTTCCTGGATTTCGGGGTGCCAGGATCATACGGACGAGTTCCCCGGCAACCCTAGGGCACCGCGAAAGGGATTGAATATGGGTATAGTGGTTCTTAGTTGCCCATATCTAGAAAAGGTAACTTCTACGGGGCGATATAGAGGATCCATGCGCATGTAGTATATTAGAGGAAGGTGATAAGTGTTGTCAGGATCGTCAACCTTCCTAATAGTGCTTCAACCCACTCTACACAACTTTAGCTATCCACTAGCTACATAACATGTTTTACCGACAATGTTCCGGTCCGCCTGCATTCATGTTCAGGGGCCTTTCGGTGACAGCGTTCAGATGCCGCCCGAATCCTTCGGATCCTTCGCCTCCGATCCTCCGTAGCTTAGCAGCATTAGACCCACAATCGCGGTGGATCACCTGTCGCGACAATCTTCTTAGGAGCTTACTGAACACTTGAGCGTTGATCGACAACTAGTCATTTGTGACTTATTGGACTTTTTTCATATCGAAGGATTGGAATTCTGTGGTGGTTCGGGACAAAATTCCTTCAGTAGACAAGGTAATATCTCAGGACATGATGTAGCTTTGCCTTTTTTAGCCCCCCCGCCCCCCAAAAAAGGGACACATACCCTCAGAACTCGAAGCTTTCCTAAAAAGAGCCCTCGACCCAGTATTGACCCTCAGTATTTGTCCTTTGAAGGGTGGCATTGTTTGAGAGACGTGGGAAGAAGTGACTCATAATATTTGGGAAGTAGTTCAATTGACATAGTATTATAGTAAGATAGCTGTATATGTAGATCCCATCATCTCCAATGATATTCCTCACCATCCTGTAATTAATACTCAACACCATCATACCATCACACCGCCAACCGCATCAACACGTTAGCACACCTAATCAACCTCCTCTTCCTCCTTACCCGAAGCCAAAAAGACCCTCCCATTGCCATTTTCTCCCCTCTCAAACTCCAGCGACAAGTTAGCCATATGAGCAAGCACATTCCCAATAGCCGCATCCCCTTTACTTTGTTTGCTCCTGCCCAAGTTATCCAACCAGGCGATCTTATTCAAAACGTAGTAGACCAACGCAATGACGATCTCTACCCCAATGCAGTACCCCCACAGCCGCACAACAGTGACGATGTCCGTCCACCCATTGCTCGTCTCTTTGCTGATATACTGATCGTACGGATCGGTAATCATATCACGGTTCGAGAACCACCCGAACAGACAGAAAATAGTAGCAAGGATATCGACACCCAAAATCGCCGCCACGAGAGGTAGAGATGGCCATGTGGAGCTGCCGCGGGTCACGAAGATTAGCCAGTTCTCTGTTAAGGCGACTTCCAAGAAGATTATTTCTTGGATGGAGCCCCAGTTTTGGACGATGCCGCCGTCGGGAAGGAACAGTGTGCCGCGGATCACCCATGTTCCTGCTGCGAGGAGGATTCCGAGGATGACGGAGATGACCCAGATTTTGGGGAGTTGCCATTGTACAGGGCGAAGTTCGTAGGAGGCATTGTCGTAGGCGACTGCTACAGTGGCCACGTCGGCGAAGAGGGCTAGGAAAACGACGAGGTCGGTACGGATACTTTCGTTCAGGATGATCATTGTCGTTACGAGATAAATTTCTAGGTGTAGACAGAGCGCTATTCGGTATTGGATGTAGGCTTTCATGCGGTGGAAGATTTGGCGGGCGACCTGCTTCTTGTCAGAATGGACCAATTGCGGCTGTGGGATGGGAACAAGGGGTGACTGACCTTAATGGAATCGATGATGGTTGAAAGCCCTGGCTCCAGAAACACAATGTCCGATGCAGATTGCGCAGCCTCCGAGGCACCCTCCACCGCGATACCACAGTCTGCTTTCTTCAAAGACGGCGCATCGTTGACACCATCTCCAGTCATGGCTGTAAGATGCCCACGATCCTGGAGCATCTCAACAACCTGGTATTTGTGTTCTGGGAAGACCTCTGCGAATCCATCTGCTTTCTCTACCAACTCACCAGCCATGGCGCCGCTGAGACCACCACTGATCAACTTCTCCGAGTTGTAGACCTTCGTGCCCAGAGCCAGCATTTTGCACGTCTCCTTTGCAATAGCAATAGCATCTCCCGTAAGCATCTTAACCTTGATGCCTAGCTTTTGTGCCTCAGCAATAGTTTGAGCAGTGTCATCGCGAGGGGGATCAAACATAGGCAGCATGCCTAACAAGGTCCACTCTTCACCCTCTTTCTGAACAGCCACGCCAAGCGACCGGAAGCCACGCTGTGCGAATTCGGTTGCTTTCTGTCTGTACATTCTTGCAGTTTCCTCTGAGCAGTTGGTCAATGATAGGACTGCTTTAGGCGCCCCTTTCGTGCAAGTGTAGCGGGTGCCGTTAAGGGAGACATTCGCAACGATTCGTTTCGAGACCGGATCAAAAGGCGTGAAGTTCTCAGTTTTCCATCCTTGTTGGAGAATTTCCTTTGCCTTAGGGTATTGGTTGACCGACAGGATGGTAACCTTGTCAATGGGGTCGAGCGAGCGCACATTATGGGAAGAAGCGAGAGCAGCGACTGCGAACATCCAGTTTACGTCGACTCCTTCGGATACGAAAGGTTCCCGGATGCTGAGGCGATTTGCGGTTAGGGTTCCGGTTTTGTCGGAGCAAAGGATGTCGACACCCTATTTGTTGTGTTTTTAGTATCTGAAATAAAGGGCCAAAAGGGGCAATTTAGAAGTCGGGACCAGAACAAAAGGAGAGAATATGCCCTTAAGAATACTTACAGCAAGCGACTCAATAGCAGTCAATTTCTGGACGATGGCCTTCTTGTTCGCAAGATAAGCCGCACCGACCGCCAAGGTGGTAGTTGTAACAACAGGAAGACCGACAGGGACCCCGATGATCAGGATAGACAGGGTATAGAAAAGAAGAGTCTGTTCACCAGGCGAGGCGATGGGGATGTTTCTGAAGAAACCACCAATCCAAACTGCCAGCAGCCAGGCCATGACTATGACCAGCAAGGCAGTTCCAATGCTATCCATGACCATCTTGAAGTGGCCGGTATCTTTCGCATTTTGGACCATTGAAGCAGTGCGGCCAACGAAGGACTTCGTCCCAGTGGCTTGGACGACTGCGTAGGCTTTTCCACGCTTGCATCCTGTTGTGTAGAAAACTTGGTCACCAACGAATCTATCGACGGCAAGAGACTCTCCCGTAATAGCAGAATGATCGCAGGCCAGGATAGGATAGCCCTTCTCATCGTCGTCAGAGTCATCCTCGCCCTCTTCGTCATTGGACTTCTCGGCATCCTTTTCAAATTTTCCTTCGCTCTGCAACCTTTGGTATTCACTCCATCCTTGGTCGGGTTCATCGTAGTCACAGATCACCTTTGCATCGGCAGGGACAGTTTGGCCTTCTTCAACGATGATCTGTTGGAACAAAACATGAGCACCTGGTTGTTGAAGACATTTTGTAAGAGTAAGCTTACCACGTCGCCAGGAACCAGTTCCCGTGCCAAAATATCTTGCTCCTCCCCGTTACGAACAACAGTACTGCGCATGGCAATATCGGCCTTCAGACTGGCAACCACATCCTCAGCCTGCTTCTCCTGGTACCAACCAACTGCTGCATTCAGGCACAGAATACCGATAATAACACCGAAGTCGATCCAGTCCTTCAAACCCGCAGCAAGTAGGATCGCAATCTCCATAACTACAAACACAACCGTCAGCGCATTCACCACACCCAATCAGTAAAAAAACCGATCATCAAATCTCACCATATAAAATCGGGCCCTGAAAATACGACAACAGCCTCGCAACCGGGTTCTCCTTCTCCGAGCTCAATTCATTGAAACCTGCCGATTGTCTCCTCGTCTCGACCTCCGACCCCGATAACCCATGATGGATATCAGTCAGGCGCCACTCTTCCGGAAATTCGCGCGACGACCCAACATGCTTCCAGCGAAATCTTCTCTTCCTCCACGGCGCATACCACACCCGGCTTTCGCGGATTTCTCCCTCTCCGGGATCATTTGCGTCTTTCTCGCGGTACGTGGACATGAACTTCACCAGTCTGGTGTACTCGTCGAGTTTCGTGTCCGACCGGGCAGACCGGCTGGAAAATCGGGAGGCACGGCGCGAGCCGGCATCGTGCTCGACGTCGCCGTTAGTAGACATACTGAGGGTGATGGCGTAGCCCCGTATGGAATTACTGGGAGGGAAAGAAAGAGAGAAAATATAGCGCGGAAGGTCCAACCAACTGCACCGGGACGGAGATCGGGGATTAAGGAGACAGGAACAGGGAATGACAAGCAGTTTTGTACACCCGCAGACGATATATGCGGTCCTAACTGGGATTTTTGCTCATCCTGTTTTGCTGCTTGCTGTCCGGTCGGAAATCGGCAAGCTCGGAGATACGAAGCTGAAATACCTCATGACGTCGCGTGCTGCATGCTGCATGCTTACTGCAGGTGTCTCACTGGGTTACACGCCTGAGCTGTAACTGTGTAATGTTTGGCCATTCCGAATTGAGTTAGGGATTGTCGTTAGCTGTATGTAGGAGTGGCTGTTATTGGGAGATGGTGTGAAGCTTGTAGCTGTCGCTCCACTTGCACGTTGATGCCCAGGATCGCTGGCAATGACCGAGGTCATTGCTTACAGTCCAAAGTGATCTGAAAGTACCTCAATGCGCTCTAAACGATATCTAAAATCCCATCATCTCACTTGATGCTACTACTTGCTGCTCAATGTGATGAGGCTCAAGATGGGTTGAAAATACCTCAGCGCGGTCCGAGGGTTGTCTACGAAGTATAACGCCCCGAAAGGTCAGATGAAGCTTTGTTGATGTCATGTTCGGCAAAAGGTACGAGTCAGTCGACGATCTGTGCGGAGGTCAAAAGCTTGATTGGTCCTGACCCACTCTGTCACAGGCCTGTGTTATCGCCACGTCCATCATTGCCCTTTGCACGCACGAAATGGATGGGAAGACGGGACGCAGATAGGGTCGAAGTAGACTACCAGGTTCTCCTTTCATCGACTACAACTTCAAAAAATCCAGGGTATCATGAAACGTAACATTGCTATAGAATAGAAAACTTCTTACCTTCAACACTCGCAATACATCGTCATGCGATAGCATGCAACTCTTTTGTTGTTCAAATTAACGATCTAGACCTAAATCCAAACATGTCCTCCATCCATATCCGTGCCCCGTTTTCTCAGCCACGACCAGATCCCGCCATGCCGACGGACCGAACCCCTGCCAGTCCCAGCCAATACGACCCAGTCGGATATGCGGCATATGGGGTTCAGCTCCATGATAGGCCCCCAGACCTTCATCAGCTTTGCAAGAAACCGGTCTCAAGCTTCCGAGAAATCCGCGATTGCCCCACGGAATCCTCCCTGCCATATCCTCGCCAATCAACTACCCAAACCTTCAAGAAGCGCATGCTGACATCACTATAATAATCATTCTATTGGTTTTCGTTACCGGAATGCTTCGTGATATGAGAGCTATGACAAAATCACGCAGTCAAGGAACGGGAAGGTAATTCGGGTAGGTGAGGGATTTGCCTGATCATTAGGACTGGACTACTACATATTATCGCGGGATAGCCAAGGTATTCTTTGGGATAGACTAGATTGACTTTTACACCTTTAGGGTAACAACAGGCAGCTTAAGCCCCTGTAGCTGCGGTCCATTCTCTGTTCTCTTAGTACACTTCTACCGTCTATAATTCTTGAACATAACAATTTGGGACGTTAGTACTTCTTCACCGTTCTAGCCACAAAATTGTGAGTACTACACGCCTCGTAGATACCATACAGAACTTCAAGCATAACAGCAGATCAGATCAAAGCAGACTTTATCGCACAGCTTCCAACCTTTTCAACGATCTTCTTCCTCATTCGAACAAGAAGTTCACAATGCCCGCCATCAACTTCCCCCGATCGACCACAGTCCTGTCTCACAAAACCATCGGCAAGCGCAGCTGGGCTGGTGAAGAACCCGGTGTGATTCTGGATTTTGTCGTGGTCTTCATCGTGCTCTGCGGGATACTGGCGCTTATTGTCCAAAAAGCATGGCGAAATCGTCAGGCTGAGAGGGCGGAATGGGAGATAACGGAGATTAAGGATTAGTGGACAGTTGACGTTGTCGTTATACCCGTTTTTGAATGTGCGCTTGGCGTGAGCGCTGAAGATGGTATCTTGAAACTCTTAATTAATAGCTCTATCGATACGCCTGTGATAAGAATTGGATGTAGGGTATAATTCACTACTATTTGCGATCCCTAGGTCTGCAGGTGCGTTACTGTGTCGGGGCGGAGGTGAACCGCGTATGGTCGAGATGATGTACATAGCAGGTCGCTCGCTGCGGTGATATCTTGTTCACCTATGCACTGAATCATTTCAATATATCCAGAGGTAATGATATTTAGGAGTGATCTGTGGTCTTTCTATTTTTCATGATGATTATGATGCTTGTACCATTCTAATTTCGACTATCTACCATGACATAGACTGCTTCCGTTGTACTCCAACCATAGCAAAGATGATCAGCTTGAGATTGTCTCATACCGTAGGAAATTCCCGACATACGTGTTAGATAGCATTACATAGCATCTGAGGAAAGAGCTCAGACCACCTTGTGTCTCATCAGGCTGAAGGCAAGCCACTACTTTGTAATTACCTTGTTGGCACTGCAAGTGTCGTTTGCGGAGACCTTTGGCGAAGAGTAGCCATGGTGAATGTCTTTGACTGTTAGCGAGCAGCTATCTGATTTACAACTCAGCCTAACCTGTTTAGATTTCTTGACAAGTTCAACACATGGCGGCCATGTGCGGCGTACGTTCCACGTGCGAAAGCCGCTCGAGAGCCTGGAACCGGAATGGCCCCTTGATTGGCTTTGGCCAAGCAAGGATCTCCATTTACAGGGCGTAGGCAATGGCTGAAGTAGCAGGATTTGCGCATAAGCGTGGCTGGAGTACGCTTCCCATATGACTTACCACAATAACCCAGACACTGGAGAGCGTACAGGATAAAAGTGGAGCCAATCACAGCTCATTATATCTAGGAATTCTATACTCCCATGAAATTGTCAGTTGTTTTGTTGAATCATCTGATCGGCCAACCGGTCCGTAGCTATAGGGCGGAGGGTTAGATATCACACTCCGATCCGATGGAGTCTCTGGTATGTCACCACAAGGGAACATGATCAATAAACGGAGTATAGAAAATATAAGCCACAAAACGTGATAGAAATGTAGAGTACAATCACCCTCAATCAACCAAGGCATAGCTAGGTATACAACCCCCCCAAGCCTACCTCTAATATAACCCCTCACACTCCCAGCTATTCGCCTCCCACAAACTCCCATTCCCGATATACATAGCCTGCTTCGGCCACAGACAAATCGGCCTCTACTTAACAACACAATCCAACTCATCCTCATCATGAAACTTAGTAGCAACCAAATAATCCGGCACCGTACCGTTCTCCACACATCCAATCATAGCCAACAACGCATCATGCTTCCCATCATCAAACCCCTTCCCATCATGAAAATGATTCGCCAACCTTTCACTTCCAATACTCGACGCCTGCGACGAACCACAAATATACCACGGTGCCTCCATATTCGACGGCATGCTTCCACAATGCTCCATTCCCGGGATTAAGTAGAACTTGTAGAGGTCATCCAGATCAATGCCCTTGCTTTGCAAAGTCCGTTGAACCTGCTTGTAGAAGTCGACGCTGCTGCCGGTGGCAATGGACGGGTTCGCGAGGCCGTGGTAGTGGATGAGTTTCGAGCCGCGGTTGTAGAAGGGTGAGAGGTCGAAGTTGTCTGCTGTGGCGTTGCCGGGGTTCATGGCGTCGGACAGTTTGACCAGGGATGGGTTCCAGTCAGCCCAGGTAAAGCTCGTGCAGAATATACTAACTATTTGCGCATCCGTACCTGCCTAGACGCGGTCCGAATACGATTGTGATAAGTCTCTGTCGGACGTCGGATGTGGCTGTGGCGGCATCCCCCGATCTCCGGCTGCCGGCTTTTCCGTTGAAGGGTCCATCCGCCCACTGATCGCATCTTATCAGGGCTTTCAGGCGTCAACAACCGAGATATGAGCATTTTTGATGGGGTAAATAGGGCGGGTTGATGGGCAGAGTGGAGAGGGCTACGCGGCCGCCTACTAGTTAGTCCCTGAGGGTCCAGTTAGGGTTGACGACCCTGACGATTATGTTCCAGTTTTCTTTTTCTTACGTCCATTGTGTCGATTTTACTGGATACAGGACGAGATATACGTGGACCGTGCATCTTTCGGAAAAATTAGGTGAAGACAAATGACCAGAAGAAAAAAAAAATAAGAAAAGATTGTTTCAACTCAGTACGCGTATGCAAAGTCCGCTATTGCCATGGGCTACAGACTGCAAGCCAAAGAAGATATCTACCACTACCACGTAAGCTACTGAAGCTGATATACTCTCACACAGATTATCTCACAAAGTCTGGCCCATCCGAGGTATCCTACTATTCGACATTCTGGCCGAACCAGCTTCGGATTAGATCAATTCGGGCCGGCTCTGCAACCTTTCCAGCTCCCCAAGAGTCGCCAAGCCATGTAGTCGTTGAATTTTCTTTACTGGGTGGCCAATAGGTCAATCCTTCGCCATTAGGGTTTCCATTCTTGATGAAATTGACCCAGTAGCCATCAATCCTGGAATTAATACTCAGCCTTGAAGCCAGTTGATCCTAAGCAGGAGTGCGGAGACCCGGACCATTTGCCCTTTCGGAAGACAGTATGGACGCGTCGTCTTTGTCCATGGTAACCCCAGCGAATATTCAAGCTCTGTGAATAGGTCCATCCCAAATGCATAGCGTTTACCTCACCGAAACGAGCTTAGAGGTTATGAGGAACTAAGAATGTCTAGTCTACATGGATTGAATGAAAAATCGAACTCAGCCTTCATAATAGACATGGGTGTCTTATGGAAATGTAAGCATTTGAGGAGCTTAATGACATTTTGGTCTTCTAGAAGACGATTGTCATGATCCTCATTGCTAAACAAGGATTGAAATATTCGTAGCAGTTATTTTTTACATATCATCTTGGGTAAATCATTGGCGTCAACCTTTAGACCGTTTAGGCCAGATGTAAGACATTGCCGGCATCAATATGGGAATGGCACGCTATCTTGCATCGACTCATCCAACCGCCACGGTTCGTCGCCCACTGGTAATGGAAAAGCGCTCTCCCCGATATCCCCTTCTACGGGCTGCATCTGTCCCATATACAAGACTGGTGCATTCACAGCAGGGAAAGACCGTGACGGATCGACCCTTCCCGCGGAGTCGTCTGCGTACCACGGTTCAGCATATGCGGGACCCGCCATGCCACTCCCGAGCGAGGGTAGTATGGCAGCTGAGCCTGGGCCTCGGTGAGGATCCAACATGTGGACACCCGACGCTGGTGGAGGAACTCCGCCGCGTAGATAGGTATGTGTATCACTCGGGCGAGCAATTATCCGCTTCTGGATCTGTTCAAACCACTCTCGATTCTTGATCGCAACAACGTGATACCATTTGCTCGGGACGCGGTACTTCTGCTCTCCACTCGCTCGTAATAGAGCCTGTCCGACACGGTCCAGGTAGCCGTCAACGTCCATCATCTGGGAAGAGACTACCTCACCGAGAGGGCCAAATTGGGCCGTGTGATATATTCGAAGTAGGGATGAGATGCCCAGGATCATTCGGATGTAGGTCATGTTAGGTAGCTTGCGCATGGTAGAGGTGTCGCATTCTAAGAAGGCGTCTAGCATCTGGTGGGAGGCCAGCAGCCATTTCGTTATTATCTGGACCCGTGCAGCCGTTATAGGTGCGTTTGCTTTGTGTCTTTCCATGTCGCCTTCTAAGGGTGGGAGGGTGTAGTATTTGCGGGTTGGGGCATCGGGGTCGCGGTAGCTTTCACCAGCGGCAAGTTCGTAGATGGCGAGGTACATGTGGTGATATTCCAGGTTCATCCATGCTGGAGATTTTTGTATAAGCAGGATTCCATTTATGTGTTGATGCGACTTACTTGTGAGCATGTTTTTCGGAGTCGTCCTCTTCCATTGAAGCATCCGAGAATCGAACCAATTCAGGATTGGAAGCATCTGCGACTCACGAAGGGAAATATCCACTAGGGTATTGTCCTGGCCCAGTGAGGATAGTGTATCGTCAACGATCCGCTGAAGGCCAAACCATGTTGCTATTTGCTGATCTAGGCCGATTGTAGATTCTCTCAGGTGGTGTATGTACCCGTCTATCACATCGTTGAAGCGGAGCATATTCGGTCGATGCGTTCGAATCCCTATGCTACGGCTAGGTCAGTCGTGTAACAACTACGTGATAATCATAGAGTCCATACTTGGACGCGAAGTGATAGCAGCCCAGTACGGCGCGCGCCTGGGCACTATGGATGGAAGCTGGTAAATCACCATATCCGCCATGACAACGGTAATTTTTCCGTCCCGCCGGCCCAGCTGCTATACCAAGCTCTAGAGTCATGGTGGTCGCAATGTGCGTGTATTGGTAATATTGACCCTGTAAACGTGACTTTGGGGGGAAGTAAAAGATAAGCATCAAGAGGATTGATTGAATCAGCTCCACTGACTTTTCCTGCCTGAGGAAAAATCGTTCTGCAAATATCTTGAGCATCTCCTCATTCAGAGTCTCCGCGAGGTGAGGATTTAAGGTCATTGAGGAAGCAGCTAGAATAGACAGGAAAAGCACCGGGCTCGTTCTGCGCAATGATTCCGCAGTTGTGTTTGATGGCAACACGACCATTGGGTAGAATTGCATCTGTTCGTTGATGAAGAATGAGACCAACGTTTGCGCCATGTCAAGCGATACGATGCCGCGATCAACCACGTCCCCAGAGCCAGCTGGCGACTGCATCAGGGTCAGGCTACTGTTGGTGGGAGCAGGCTCGGCAGGAGGATTTCTAGCATGCTGATCTGAGTCACCCTGAGCAGAGGCATTGTGGACACTAGGGGGCTCCATGCGCGTAGATGATGAGAGTGCGGGCAAGGACGCTGCGTCGCGGCCAGACGCCCCCGGAGGGTCAGTAACTGCGGCAGCGGCCGCGGCATCATCTGCCTTTTCCCCGCGGTCTGAATCCGGTCGGATCTGGTCATGTAACAGGGAGCGCAAATCCCGCACGTCTCTTTCCAACTGGGCCACTCGAGAGCCAGTCTTCTTCCGTGGCTGTCGTCGGAGCGTGCGGGCAAACACGCAGGTTCTTCTCGTGCGGGTACAGCGCTGACACTGGCGCGGGACGTTGGGATCCGGCAGACAGCGTACTTTGAGCGCCCTACAACTCTCGCACGACTGATTTAGCGGGGGCAGCGAGTTTGGTAGATTGAGGGAGCGATAGCTAGAGGGCATAGAGGCCGACATTGTGCGTGTCAAGGGTGTAATTCATGAAGAAGTAATGGTCTGGAGGAATATTTAAGAGGGATTGCGTTGCGCCAAGCCCGGTAGTGGAGGATTGAGATGGACTCGGATTTCATGCCGCGTTTGTTGGTTGGGGGACCCGCTTGATGAGGATCGTCAGTCACCCTTGGCCCCATTTTGATAAGACAGATCAATTGCTCCAAAGATTAGATGGAAGTTTCACAGCACGGGTACCATCGAAGAGAAAATAGGTTACGTTGGCAGATATATACTAAATCAGAGACCAAAACGAGACTATATTCTTCAGGACAATGTGACTTGCAAAAGGTGGACCTTTTTGACGGTCGGAAGTCGGACGTCGGAGATACCGCTGAATCCCGAAAACCAGCTATTCCCAAAATGGATTAGGCGTGTCACGGCTCTTCCGATCCCCTGTTTTGTTGTGTACTTCTGGCTCTTCCCTGCCGAGGTTGAGCATCTACGAGCTCTATGTAGTTCAATAAGAGGTTATAGTTATCTATAATGTGGCATAACTGCCATACCCTCATACTCTATCATCGCAATAACACGCAGCTTTACCAGTTATACAGTTTAGTGGGGTTGGACACCATTATCGCCTGCCACTCCTCTGCACTGACCCAGGACCGCAAGCTCTTCAGCCATTTCGCGTCATCGATGGCCAGATATGGTGTTTCCGTCAGTGCCTCTTCACGTGTACGAACCTTCATATGCGGGGTATGAGGCCTAACTTGAGCATTAGCAGCGAACCATCACAGTGCTTATTTGAGAATCCTCACCAGTCGCTCCCCCAAAGGATCTGTTGCGGGTTGGCATCCACATAAGCGCGCACCAGAGGCTTCACGTCTGCATACCGCGGAGCTTCATGACTTAAGCGGTATGGGGCGCTAAGTTTCACGTATAGAAGTCCAGAACGGACCAGATCCATGATCTCCGTAAACCCGGGCTGACGAGTGATATCACCCTCGTACTCTGCAGGCAACATGCTAGCGGCCTTGAGCAATGCAAAGTGATCAGTGACCAGATGCAGGCTAGAGGATCCCATCTCCTCCTCGATGATAGGCTTCAACTCTCCCCAGAACTCGGGATGCACGTGAGTGAATGCTATACTCCATCCGGGACAGTGTGGCTTGATAGCTCTAATATGGGCACGCAAAGCTTGTTTCTGCCGTTCCACATCGTGCATTGCCTGGTATTGGTACAAGTTGACTCGGATACCTCGGATACCCTTTGCTTGCATTTCTTGGAGCTCCTCTGGTGTTGTTGTCTCTGGGTTAATGACTCCAATGCCCCTCGTTCCCGACTCCCCTAGTTCGCGGACAAATGTTTTGAGAGATGTACAGTCTGACCCGTATGATAAACCGTGCGTGATAACCGAGTTGGTGATCCCAATCTTGTTTTTAAATGCGAGAAATTGCTCGACGGTCGCGGGTGGCGGAGTGAGATGTCTGTCAGGGGCGTAGGCGAATTTCGCCGCTACACATACGATCGCATCAGTATGATGTTACTTAGTAGAGTGTTAAGCTTATGTGTGGAGTCCAGAATCATACGCTCGAATATGTGGTGGTGGACGTCCCAGCCACCATTTGGAAACAGCACCGGTTCCGGGCATGTTTGGTGTTCGACGGTCATGATGGGCCTCGGAAGAGTTTAGCAAATCTGATACCTTCGAGGGACATCGAGGGAACAAATTCATCGGAGGGGATCTGGGAACTACATGTTATCTCATATTTGTAAGTCTGATCGGCTCGCCTTGTCTGTATACGGATCCATTTCGGAATCGCGGGTTACTCCGGGTCCCAACGGCAGCCGGAGCGACCCTGTCCATGTACCGGGGGTCTCATGCAACACAACATACAATCTCCCCTCAATACCATGTTGGTTGTGATCTGCAATCTCGTCTTGATAAAGACTTGTCTTCTGATAATTGGACAATAGATTGGCCTCCCCGATCCTCCTGGCTGTAGTATCTTCCGGTTTAGTGTTTGCACCGTAAGAATCCGGTATCTGCGGTTAGGTCTGATCTGCAGATGATATGCAGCGCTGGAGGCCGTCGGACAAGCGGTTCAGAAACATCATATAAACTCCTGTCAATCTGGTGAATTGAGAAAAGTGGCGCCTGCTACAGTAAGCTAGAGGATATCATCATTTCTGCAGCTGAAGGCTACGAATTGGCAAGTCTGCATAATCCTTTACTCTGCATATGACCCTAGATTATGAATCATACATTGTCCATATGTCAGATTTTATATCTGCGCTTACAGAGACCGCCACTGATGCTCTCAACATGCCCCGAGAATGCATCGATGTGAGCCTGCAGAGTGGCGACATCGGTACAGTTTCAACGTTGAGATGTCATCAATCCCTCTTTGAGTTAAACATGTTGAATGTTAAAATAACTATACCATTGATATTGTATACTAGGTTTATTCTCGATATTTCTTTTCGTCATCCAAACTCTTAGTCAGCTCACCTGGCAGGTTCATACTATCCACTAACAGTACTCGATATATGTAGTTTCGCATAAAGGAAAACTACTAGGTACTAGAAACTTGACAGCAGTATCAGTCAAGAAAGATAAAGCAGAAAGCTAGCAAAACATACATTGTGGTTATTAGTATCGCAAATTGAAGTTATAAAGGGTTTGCAAGGGGGGAAGAAGAGAAAAGAAGCAGGAACCAAAACGGTTGTGGAGTAAATCATGTGCCGACGGCCGAGTCAAAGTCACCCGCCGCCCCCGGCATTCCGCTTTCCCCCACAAATCCGGCCGGTCGCATGTTGCCGTTGCGCTGGTTCATCGTGCTTTTGCACGCATCATCTCGCAAATCTCCAAGATGAGTCCCCGAGACATAGAGCGCCCGGGGTCTCCTGCTCCGAAGAAAGTCCGGATCGCCTGTCGTCGGTGTCGAGCTAAACGCGTCAAGGTTGGCCCACATTCATGTTCATGTTGCCAAGCTTGTGACTGTGCATCTTTGCTAATTACCTGCCCCGGAGTGTGACGGCCGCATCCCCGCATGTAGCAATTGCTCGCGAGCGAGGGTCCCTTGTATCGATGTTGATGGTCGGAACCGTGATATTTCGATTCCTCGCGATTAAGATCTCCTCCACCCGTGGCTTCTGTGCCCTCAGCCGCACTAATTGTCCTGTGATGTCCCAGTTTCATCGCGCAATGCCGTGCCAGACTCACATGGCTCGAACAACAGATCAAAATTCTGGACCCGGACTTCGATCTGACCAAAGGGCCATCCGTGAATATGGGTGAGAATGAATTGACATTGCCGTCTAGCTCGGGGGTTTCCGATTGTGCCAACGCTGTCACTACTATGCTGGAGACTGACACACAGAGTCGCGACAAGCCAGCCACAAGAAAACGACCATATGACTTAGTTGAGGACCCAGAACCTGACCAAACCCCACGTGCAGAAGCATCATCTGTGGCAAATGCATTTGGGATGCTGTCCTTACATTCAGATTCCCGACAACAGCACTACATGGGTTCTTCCTCAGGACTGCTGTTCACGAAGCTGATTGGAGTGGATAGAGATACACAGGTATCCAGCCCATCATCCAATAGTGAAACTAGCAAGTATGGGAGGCATTCGATCTCTCAAGCCTTGAAGCAAGGCTATCGCTCTCTGTACCAGAACTTGACAAGGGTCTGTCGCTCCCCTCGGTTTCCGGTCACGCTTCTCATCATATATTTAGGAACTCCCTCCCCCCGAGGAAGCTGAAATCTTATTTGCGGTCTACTTCCAGCATATACATATTGACTACCCCGTTCTTCATGCGCCTTCGCTAGTCAATGCGTATTTGGCATTGTATGAGAGCACACAGATGGAACCCACAGGCCAATACGATAGTAACGGGTGGATGGAAGGCCTGGAACCCTTCGAGTACAATGGCATGGCTGATCATGAAAGCGGCAAACCGTCTACGCCGATATCAGTATTTACAGCCGTGTTTCATGTCTTCATGGTCTTCTCTCTGGCAGCGACCGTACTAACGCGCAAAAAGAACTTTGATTACTCCCCGACAAAATTCTACAGAATGGCCTTAGCGGAAACATCTAGTTGCTTCTCCTCCGTGTCAGTGACATCTCTGCAGGGTATATTACTCTTGGCGATTCATAGCATGATCTGCCCGGCTGGCCTGAATATTTGGACACTGGCACATATAGCAATGTCGCATTGCATTGACTTGGGCCTTCATCGAGAACCTAGCCCGTCTACGCGCGTTTCCAGAACGTCTCTGGCTGTCAAGAGGCTGATATTCTATACAACATACTCCCTCGATCGGTAGGGAAATCATTCATGTTCCCCGATACGCTTGAGCCTAACAAAGTCATAGAACAATAGCCACCATCCAAGGCCGTCCTTTAGGTATTAGGGATGAAACATTTGATATTCAACGTCCCGAAGTAGAAGATGTCAGTGAAGAATTGTCTATGATTGGAAATTGCCAACTCCATGTTTCAGCGCCATCATCCGCCCATATGACAATGTCCATTCGTCGTTTCAGACTGGATCAGTACATAACTGAGATAAAGCTCCTTTTCTATCATTTACCCAAAAAGCTTCGCCCGCTCGTGTGGCCGAATGACCTTGAAAACCATCAGGCACAGATCAAGCTTGACCTTGACACATGGTTAACCGAGACATCTCTCATACAACCGCCAACTGACCGAGAAGAGGACAGAAAAAGCGTTGAGCATGAGAAACTCAGGTTGGAGATTTTGTATCACTCAGCAATAACGCTCCTTTTTCAGCCTTCCCAAGCATTCCGTTCGCCATCGCCAAGTGCTCTAAAACAGTGCTATCAAAGTTGCAGTCGAAAGTTACGCATATACGATCATCTCAGTGCAGAGGAACAGCTATTATACAACTGGCGAAACATTCACGGTATATTTTCCTCGGGCGCGACACTGATCTACTGCATCTGGGCATCACCCTCTCTTCAGGCCACCACCCTGTTCGCGGAGGTATTGAGGGATCTGCGGATCTGCTCCAACCTCCTCAGTATCGGTGGTCAGTGGTGGCCTTCTGTACGTAATGGCAAGGGAAGCTTCGACAAGATGGTCGACCTTACTATACGGCAGTTAAGTCGTACTCAGACCTCCCCATCAAAAATGCGGGGCTCACTACACACCCAACATGCTGAGATTGGCTGTCAACCTGATCTACACGATTCCAGTTTGGTTCCCGAATTTCCTAATAATTCGAGTATTCAACTAACGGAAGACTCATCCCGCCACCCTGAAGGGCTCGGTGGTCTCCCCAATGCAGGGTTTCATGACTCTACAGGTGAGTATTTTCGGCATAACTTACATCCACGGGCGTACTATTCACTTTGGGTGCTAATGTCTCTGCTTGTTTAGGAGACAATTTGGATCTTGGTTTCGGAGAACCTGGATTGTTGTTTCCCAACCCGAATGGCATGGATGTTACTGACACATATTCCATTGACTCTGCGATGGAGAGCTTTCTCGCCGAATTTATCCGCGGAGACTGGGGCTGGGACCCATTCTCAGGCACAGCGACCTTGTGAAAGCACACCAGTCTGTTATCACCGTTACCCCCATCACAAGGCCTTTGTCGATCGGAGCCGACAGACTATATAAAACGAATACCACAGTGTGTCTCATATACTATACATTCCGATACAATCCATAGAGGCACCAGTGTTTACTTCAAGGCTATTCACAAGTCTGCGAAAAGGACAATACAGTCCCTCAAAACAAGCTGGATCTCACGGCTAGCTTATTTCCTCAGCCTCTTGATAGTGCTCCCTATTTCATCACCCTGATCCAAACAACGCCGTGTCTCCTCATCAATATCAAAGCGTTCCTGGCAAAGGCGCACGCACTCTTCTGCCTTTTCAGGCGGAACGACAACCACCCCATCCGCATCTCCAAGGATATAATCACCAGGATTAATAACAACCTGCCCCCCATTCTCTGAGTTCTCATAAGTAACTGGTACATCCAATTCAGAAGAACGAGTGAAAGAGTTGGATCCCAAAATGCTAATGCCGCGCGCAAACAGGGTCATTCCCAGCTCCCGGTGTTCATTGATATCGCGAAATTTGCCATCAATGATAACTCCGGCAGCACCACGTTTCTGAGCCCGAGTGCTCATGAGTCCTCCCCAACAAGCACTGATCAAGCCTCTCGGTTGTGACACAAATACAACGCTGTCTTTGGGTGATGGCATCGGCGAAATGAACCTTAGGCGTTGGCGAAACCTTGTCCGAGACATGCACCATTTTCACTGTGTATGCCGGGCCGAGGAACTTTGCTGTGGGTGACATGAACTCCGGAGAGTACATTTTGAGACCGGATAAATAGCCGCCCTGAGGGACTCCGAGCTTGACGAGGGCGTCGCCGACCTGAAGGGATTGGTTGAGCTCAAGCCAGAGTCGTGCTGAACGGTATAACTTACATCACAAGAGGTGAAACGCCGCAACGCGCTGAGGACGTTTGGTCTGACAGCCATAGCTACTTGTTCACGATTGATTCGATAGTACGGGGTTGCAAAAGGGCAAGACGGTGGCCCCAGAAGGTAGATGGTAGTGGTCCAGCTTACAAAAGCGGGGAGACAATCGGGCCATCCGACGGGCCATCCCGCATTCTGGAGTAGCCAGGGGCAGATGCTCTTAGACATTGTTCGGATAGCTCCGAAGCCGGATCCGGAGTAGTCCCGCCCTTTTGCCTCGGCCGGAGACAGAGCTTGACCTACGCAATCTGCGATCAAATTCGAGGATATCCTTTGTAACTTCCTCTTCCTCAATGGCTGATACTCGTATCTTGATTCTCAAGTCAGCAAAATGCAGCGATGTCGCCAGAGCTTACCGATGCTAAAAGCATCATACCGACCGCTCTCTCTGAACGGAGCCCGGAACTATGCGACAACCGTTTCAGGTAACCCAGTCAGTGCGCCTCAATTTCAACCCAGAGTAGTTGACGCTAATATTGGTCATTGGACAGATTCTGGGTGTTCATTACCCCAAACAGATTCGTGCTATCGAAGCGATTAAGCAGGGATCAAATCGCCCGCTCACACTAGCCGAAAAGACCCTATACAGTCATTTACTGGACACGGATAGCGGTCGCTGGAATATTGATAAGATTGCCCGGGGAAAGACCATTTTGGAGCTGCGCCCCGACCGAGTCGCCTGCCATGATGCGACCGCAACAATGGCCTTGCTGCAGTTTATCAGCGCAGGCCTTCCGCGCGTACAGGTACCGACAACAGTGCACAGCGATCATCTGATAATCTCGGAGAACGGCGCGGAAAAGGATATGCAGCGTGCGACCACAGAACATGCAGAGGTATATGACTTCCTGAGTAGCGCTTCGAAGAAGTACGGGATCGGCTTCTGGAAGCCTGGATCTGGAATCATCCATACTGTCATCTTCGAGAACTATGCGATGTATGTCTACCACATGAGCCCCGCGATTACCATGGCTGAAGTTTTTGGAATATAGGCCAGGAGGTTTGATTATTGGAACGGATTCTCATACCCCCAATGCAGGCGGAATGGGCATGCTTGGAATCGGCGTTGGCGGAGCGGATGCTGTCGACGCTATGTCGGGAATGGCTTGGGAGCTGGTCGCACCCAAAGTAATTGGAGTCGAACTTATGGGTGAGCTCCGAGGCTGGGCATCAACAAAAGACATTATCTGCAAGTTGGCAGGGATACTCGGCGTGTCTGGCGGAAAAGGCCGCATCATTGAATTCTTCGGTCCGGGTACGGAGACTCTGGGCGCGACAGCTATGGCCACCATCTGCAACATGTCTGCAGAAATTGGCTCGACTTCTTGTATATTCCCTTACTCGGATGCGATCGCTCGCTATTTGAGTGCCACTGCCCGCGGACATGTTGTGGAAGCGGCAAACCCAGTCAAAGACCTTCTGCTCACCGCCGATAAGGGCTCCGAGGAGTACTATGACGAAATCATCAAGATCGATCTGAACACTTTGGAGCCGCATGTTAACGGCCCATTCACACCGGATCTCGCCCACCCAATTTCAAAGCTGGCTACTGCGGTCGCTGAGAGTGATTGGCCAATGAATCTAAGCCACGCCATGGTGGGTAGCTGTACCAACAGTTCCTATGAGGATTTGGACAAGGCCCGGCAGCTGGTAAATCAAGCCCGGGCGGCCGGAATAACCAAGTTTAAAATTCCCTTCTTAGTCTCGCCGGGCAGCGAAAGAATCCGGGCCACCGCTGAAGAGGCTGGTATCCTGAAGGATCTCGAAGACGCCGGTGCTATGGTTCTCAGCAGCTCGTGCGGGCCATGTGTCGGGTCATGGGACCGCAAGGACGTGGATGTCCGCGGAAAAGAGAAGAACTCTGTGATCTCCAGCTACAACCGTAACTTTGTGGGGCGCCATGACAGCAACCCGGCTACTCACTCATTTGTCACGTCGCCGGAGCTGGTCACGGCCTTTGCTTATGCTGGCCGCCTGGACTTTAACCCTGTCACCGACAGTATCTCAGTGGAAGGATCCCAGCCACTGCGGCTTACACCTCCCGTAGGCCAGGAATTGCCAGAATCATTCAATCCTGGTGCAGATCGCTTCCAAGAGCCCCCCTCAGATGGCTCCTCTTACTCCGTTATCATCGATGTGAAGTCCGACAGACTACAGCTCTTGGAGCCCTTCCCAGCTTGGAAGAGCGGAAGTGCTAGTGACATGGAGTTGCTGATGAAGGTCAAGGGCAAATGTACGACGGATCATATTTCACCGGCTGGTCCGTGGTACAAGTATCGTGGCCATTTGGAGAACATTAGCCACAACATGCTCACAACCGCAACCAATGCATTCTTAGACAACGACCCGCAGATGCTAGGCCACACGAGACATCCGCTGACGAACGAGGTCCAGCTTACTCATGAAGTGGCTCGGGACTTGAAGCACCGCTCTATTCGTTGGTGCGTGGTCGGAGATAACAACTATGGTGAGGGCAGTTCGCGTGAGCATGCCGCACTGGAGCCTCGCTTCCTCGGTGGCGTTGCCATCATCGCCCGGTCTTTCGCTCGTATTCACGAGACGAACTTGAAGAAACAGGGAATGCTCCCACTTACATTCGCTGATCCTGCTGACTACGACCGAGTGCAAGAGGGAGATCGCATCACTCTGATTGGTGTAGAAGATGGAGAGCTGCAACCGGGCAAGAATGTTACCATGCGGGTTACTCCGCGCCGTGGAGACAGCTGGGAGGCTGAGTTGTGCCACAGCTATCATGCCGGACAGCTCCCGTGGCTTCGGGCTGGCAGCGCCTTGAACCATATTAAGGCCACAGTACATAGCTGATGATTGTTTTCAAAGAAGTAAATGAATTAAATGTATAGAAAACATGTAAATATAAATGGTATTTCTTTTTGGACTTACCATCTCGCCAAACGGACTTCACAGTAAGCAATCTCAAAGAGACTCCATTATGTGATTCACTCAGACGCACTCTACCTAAGCAGGAAAACGAGACTTGCTTTAATCCTACATTTTCATTTACTTTAGGGCTCGCCTCTGTAGCAGTCTCATAGCACCCACATAATGCTCCGGGAGCTCGGCCTCGGATGGTATCTAGAAATTATCTAGGTGATTGCCTTGCAGGTGCCCTAGAAGGTGCCTTAAAAGACGCCTCAGATGTGTTTTAGTGCTTCTCTAAGCGAGTGCCTCAAAGAGGGTCTCGAAAGATACCACGGGGATACCCTGGAAGGCAGTCTAGGGGTATTCTTCAGCATATAAACTCAACAGTATACGACTGAGATTGCTTTCTATAGCCTAGCTTATTAAACATAACTTCTGGGCTAACTGTATCTAGGAATCATCGAAAAGTACATTCGGCAATATGTTGAGCCCAAATATCAGCCGCCTATATATATGCCGTATCTTCCGGTCTTAGATGCTATCCCCGAGGTTCCACAAAAGCAGCATTACAACTAAAGCGCCGCCCTCATTGGTGGTACCACAAAACCACCATGTCAGTGCGCAGGGTATGGTTCTCATGGACAGCTCCGGCCAGCCGGAGTAATCCAAGAGAAACCCCGGATAGGATCCGCATACCCCAGACTTGGCTGGCAGCGGATGACATCCGGCCAAATTGGATTGGCTGCTACCCCCCAAACCTGCAGATGTGGACTGATCATGCGTTTGGTTGCATCGGCCGTGATATCCTGGGGTATTTAGTAGATCCCTTTGCCTGAGTTGTCAATTGCATGTTGACAGCCCGGTTCTGGCAACTTAGGATCTCTATCTGTCAAAACATACCCCGAAACTCATACCCTTAATTCAGCATGGGAGCAGCAGGCGGCGGGTTCTCTCCCCAAGCCATCAAACAGGTGCCTCCTGCGGCTCGTGGACTATACATCTGGCTGGCCATCATTTGGGCGTCGTACTGCGGTGGTCTGCATGGCTTCAACACGTCCAATATCTCGGGTGCTATGCAGATGGAGCAATGGGATCCAGATTTTGGCTGGGATAAACTTTCCAGCACGGCTGTTTCGAATAATGAGGGCTGGGCGGTTTCCTCCATGCTGCTGGTATGTGACTCGACAGTATTACAAAGTGCACGAACTAAGCAAGTGCTATTATATACAGGGCCAAACCGTCGGAGTTTTGCTCGCAGGACCACTAGGCGAACGTCGCGGCCGAAAGGCAGTCATCCTCGCTGCCGCCATCTGCTATGCGATCGGAGCCGTTCTCATGGCCGCCAACCTGGGATCCTTTGCCGAACTCCTCGTCGGGCGTGTTCTTTCCGGATTAGGGTCTGGACTGGGAATGTCAGCAGGACCAGTATACATCTCCGAAGTTGCACCCCTCGAGCTACGCGGAATGATGACCACCTTCTACAACGTGAGCATCATGAGCGGCGTCACAGGAAGTTACTGGATCAACTACGCCTCGTACCTAGTCATCCCCGACAGCTCCAGCTGGCAATGGCGCACCACACTCGTCCTGCAATCCATCCCGGCAATCATCCTCTTCCTCGGATTCCCCTTCTTCCCTGAGAGCCCTCGCTACCTTATGATGCGCGGCCGCGTCGACGCCGCCCGTCGCAGCCTGTCTCGACTCCGTGGCGGCATGGACGAAAGCACCGAGTACTTCGCACGCGAATACGCCGAACTCCTCAGCAAACTTGACACCACATCCACTCCCACCACTCCCACCAAAGCCTTCCTATCTCTTCTCCATGAATGCATCAATCACCCACCCACCCGCAAAATCCTCCTCTTCGTCACCCTCATCCAAACCTTCTTTATTATGTCTGGTGGCAACAGCATCACCTACTATACCCCAGATATATTGGAATCCATCGGCCTCGGCCATTCCCAAATCCTCCTCTTCACCGCTATCTACGGCCTCGTCAAGGTTCTTTCCGTCTTCTTCTACGCCTGGTTCCTGACGGAACGCTTCGGCCGGCGTCCTGTCCTGCTAATCGGCTCCACCATCAACGTCGTCTGTCTGTTGTACCTGACGTGCTACCTTGCCCTCAGTCCACCTTCCTCATCCGGAACAGCTTCCCCTTCCGCCGCCTCGT